AAATTTTGAAAGGCAATTTTTTTTTTATTAATTTCATTAGATTGTAAACCATCATCACCGAGTGCCTTGTTATCTGCAGACTATTCAGAGCCAAGCTAATCTTAGATGGCAATGAATAAAGCCGGAAAACTTCCCTAAAATATTTCTTTCGCAACGTTTTAAATATTATTGAAGATCTTCTTAAAAATTGTGACTAATGAAACGATAAAATCTCTACTATGAAATGTGGTACAGCTTGGTCGATTCAATAAAGAATAGCGAGCTAAGAACTACTCTTTATAATATTGTAAACTCCACAAATAATCTGATTCATTGCTATGCTATTGATTGAAAATTCAGGGTGTTGAGTTTCCAAGAAATGACGCGGCTTTTGTTGGACTGAAAGTTTCTTATCAACCCATCTAAGCTCTATCTCCATTTCCATATATTTCTCGGCTTTTTATGGAATGTTACATATACTTGCAAATATCATATTGCAGTTTCTAAGATGCGTGAACCGGAACCAATTGTAAAGGCAACTATCCACAGCAGCAGGTACGAGGAGTATTAAATAATAGGTATGTACTTGTAATAAAAACAAAATCAGTATAGTCGCAGGGGGCAATTAAAAGTGCGGCGACATCGCTGCTACAGCTCGGCAGTGCTGTTCACTTTAAGAAATCAAATCACTACAGAAACAATGTTAATTGGTAATTGCTGCGAGACAAATGGTGGCTATGGCGTAGTTCCGGAGCTTACTTTGTTCGAGTTATATTAACAGCCCGTGTATGTGTGTGTAGTAACTGTGCAGGGTCACAGGGCACATGAAGTGTGCTTCAAACTAGAAGTGCCACCTATGTATTTTGGAAAACTACTTAAAAATGTGCATGCCAGAATATGACAAGCCCACAAAAGCTGTGAAGGTTAAAGTTGATCTTAAATGTAGCTTTTTAACAGATTTTTCACGGGTTCGATGGGGAGGCGTGTATGCATGTATGTATATACGTATGCATATGGCTATCATCATCAATCAAATCAACAAATCCATGTAAACAAGTTCCAATATAAGTTAATAGACATATAATACATATATATGTACTATTTTTAATTACTAAAAAAACGAGCTGACTCATTGAACTAATCAAGTAATCGACATTGTACAATGTAGGGAAGACTCGTCTGTTGAAACACATAAAATAATTGACATCTATAAATGTTTTATTATTCCTAGTACAGTTACGCACTGATTTATTGCATGCACAAAACCACGGCACTCCCACGTTAGTCAAAAATACCGGAAATATAATTTACCTTTATTATGATAGACGATTAAGCCTCAAAGTCGGGATATTCGTAAACTCCTAATATTTTTCTATTCATATAACCTATCATGACCATTTCTTTTACAGCAGGCAGCTATATATACTTGTGGTTGTAGTTTGTCACTATTGCTATTATTCTGGTTTATTAAGTAAAAAATAAAACGCACCTTGATTTCTTCTCCTGTCCCGTATATTTTTACGGGCGTTCTATGCCCCAATTTAAATTGCACTTCGCTGCTTAACACCGCCAAATGAACTCTGTCTATTTGTATGCCCGAATCTAATGTTAATTTTTTGGTCGAGCTCCAAATGCTTTTTTACTATACGAGCAACTACATACAGAAAATAAATACTATATGTGGCAAAGTCTGTCTACCTGTGCAATTAATAAAACATGAGCTTTCGCCATTTGTACCATTCCCATTTCTAGTTTCATTCTAGGGCGGAATTACGTCACGTAAGCCAATCTAATGGCAAGTTGCTCATTTTTCTGGAACTTAATTGCAAATGATCAGTAATGACATCTGACCCTGGGCCACATACTTATACTAGTAGGTATCTCTGATGCTGATGCTAATTCTAATTCTAAGGCTGATGCAGATGCTATTGCATTTGTCTAATATCTAATATTGTGGTATTGTGGGTAATTAATAGTTAATCAAATTGAAATCAGATACAGAAGGCGATTAAAATGTGCGAATTAGCCAACAAAGTGCCAGTCCATTTGAACTATGCCTTTGCTGCTACTATGACAGCAACAACTAAAACAACAGCACCTTGTGTCCGTTTAATGCGCATGTTAGCCGAAGCTTCGACTGGCATGCCAATTAACGCCACCTCATATCAATAACATATTTTATTTTCAATTTTCTCTGTACTAATGATTGCATATTGCTCTCCGCAAATTGCGCCAATTTGTAAAGATTCTAGGAAATGGTAATGCAATTGTAGAAATTGCACAAACAATTACACTTACACGTTTCGCGCTCCAAGATCAACTTGGCTAATAAATTTCAGGATATTGAAACTTAATTACTTTTAGGAGGCATGTACGAATTTCAATTCATTTATAAATCAATAAATCCTAGTGATGATCCCCGAATGTCCTTATGCATTATTCGATGTTAGTTGTTCCGCAAACTAATATTAGTTAAATGTGCGATCAGAAAATTTTGTGATAAATGGAAGATTTTGTTAAATATTGACTGCAATAAGTAGCATTGACAATCTTGAGAGTATAAAAAGCTAAAAGCTGTCCAATACACACAAAAAAAGCTGACCTGTGCGACACCCGCGCTGGGGGCCCAGCCACAAAAACACATCGTTTAAATGTTTGTTAAAGACTTGTAGCTTTTTTCTTGTCGGTAGGTTCAATAGTCTACGGTAAGGTCAACTGCTTCGACGCACAATGCCTGACATCCATCTCTTGAACCAGATTACTATTGAAAAATCGAAATAAAATACCTAACAATTTTGTCTGTTCGTTGCTTTTGGTTTCTATGAGTCAAACCGACAGCTGCAGAAGGCACGACCAATAACAACACCAGCAAAACTGAAATGTCAACGCGGAAATTGATTTTATATATTCGCCTCAACATGAAAAGCACAGACATACACATTTCAATAATTGTTTGGAAAATGAAAAGTTAACTAATATTATCAATACTCTTCTATACGTATACTCTGTATCAAGTTCAATGACACAATATTTTCATAATATGTTAGTACTATTTGTTAACATTCTAAGCTTATGACATTATGCACTGTCCATAATAACGGCATGTTGATAAGCTACTTATACAGATCGCGTTCATGCGACATATAAACTGATTAAATAAGATAAATAAGTAGTATAAATAAGAATAAAATTAAGTACTTGAGTCCCTGTTCAAAAACAAATCAAATTCAAAAAGAACGAAAAAGCTTCTTGCAGTCGAGAGTACTATGAAAAACAGTTCGTAACTAGTTATTTGTACAAATGGTATTAAGATTGTTTGAGTAGAGTTTTTCTATTTTTAAACAATATGAAACTTGATATTAATTTAATACTTAAATTCAAACATATAAATGTAGCTTTGAAATTGTCATATATGTCGTCATATTTTATAGGTAGTTGAATGAACTTTGTCCGGGCCAACAACCTCTTTGAATCATTTAAAAATTTACATTTTCAAATATTTAATTTCACATACGTCAGCAGTTTTCCTGTGCATCTTATACAAGCCTCTGCCCAATCTTTTGAACAAAATACACTGCAATTACAGTATCGGTAACAATTTCTAAGTAATCAATATAAGCTTAATTTTCGTATTTAATCAATAGCTTAAAAAGCCACTCACACACTTGTTTGATAATGGGCGTCCCAATTCAATAATAGTCGGTTTGTACAAACCTAACAAGTCCACTTCAACGCAATGCTAAGCTGAAAATGCGAAAAGGCGCGCACGTTTTTGGCCAATTTGTTTGAGTAGTGCAAGCCAATCATTTTGTGTTGAAAGATTGCGGCAGCTGTTAGTTCGCGAAATTTCTAAGCCAAAATGAATTGAATACTGAAAAAATGAATTAAAAATCTGACAAAAACAAAAAGTTTAAACGCTGTTTGATAAAGAGAGATGCCAAAACCAGCAACAAAAAGTTGATTTTGACTAGCTTTTTGGTTTGACGCTTGCATGCAAAATTGAAGGTGATTGGGTTTTTATTAGGCAGCCAAAAAAACGTTTCAAATTAACAACAATAAGATATAAAAACGCGTCATAGCAAGGTATAGCACGGAAAAAATAAGAGTGCGGCAGACAACAATGACAATCATAACATCAGCAACAGCAACAAAAACAATAACAATGACGACAACAATATGCGTAAAAATTTACATCGTTTGTTTCCAAAAAACAATAAACTTGATTTAAATTGCGTATTTAGTCGTCCGACGAACGATGCTTGTTATTCCAACATTTGTTAAATGTTAAATGTTGTACCTCTGCACACATATGTACAAAAGTATATAACTGCCAACACGTGCATACATAAATACATACATATACTATAAGTATGTGTGTGTGTGTGTGTGTGACCAAGCGAAGTATGAGTAATGGGCTGGGGGCGCTATCTTACCGCTGGTATTTCCCCAAAAGACAACGTAGAAAATAGCATACCAAAACAGGTTTAAGAATTTGGGATCTAAAAATCATAGGCTGGCCAACTACACACCTACACATACACGCATATGCGTATATACATACATAGGTAGCTGTGTGTACATATAGTACATACATTCATACAAACATGCAGCCACAACCGGCCAAAACAAAGTTCAGCTGTAAGCGATAACAGCTGAGCCTTTGCGTCACGTTAGCGAATGCGTAAGCTAAACGTAACGTATCATTAAAGCTGGCGAATACACACACGTATGCACACATATGCAAAGGCAAAAGCGACAAGACCCTAACGTATACGTACAACAAGTATCTTATAGATACGCTCTCGTCGAAATTGTCGTCGCTGTCGCTGCCGCTGCCACTACTGCTGCCAGTGCCGGTGCCGCCGTCACTGTCGACGCTCTGATTGCTGCTCTGCCAGTTTGGGCCCGTCTCGGACTCAGTCTCAGACGCAGCAGTCGATAAGCTGCACGATCGTACTAAACTGAAACTAAAACCGTATCTTACCTGTCTACTCGCCACATGTCCGGGTTTTCATTCATCAGTGAGCGATGCTAGCGAACGGACGTATTCGCGCTTAGCCAACCGATATAGAGAGCCTTAATATAGATTTTAAGCAGAAGCAAAGTTCATGTGAGATTTGCGCAAGGATTCGAGCAGCAAAAGCGACAGCAAGTTTTTCAGTGCCCATCCATAAGTGTAAAATAAAAAATATTGTGATTTATCAAAGAAAACGCAAAGTAAACTAGAAACTAAATACTCTTAAAACAGCAAGTGCCGAAATTTGAATTTTCATTATATGTCTTAATTACAAGTGGACATTCAAAGTGACAATTGCAACTAAAAGAACAACAAAAACAGAAAAAGAATGAAGGACTTTAGCAGAATGTTTTCACGACGCTATAGCGCGGTCTGTATAAGCGATGAGGAGGCCCAGTCAACATTGAAACAGTTGCCAGCTGAAGCGGGTGTGCCGGCGCAGATGCAGATGCCAACACAATTGTGTCCTGAAACAGCCGCACAGCGCCGAAAGAGCCTTAAAGCTAACCGTTCGATGCATCCCATGGGAATATTGGGCACCTTTTTCAATGAGCGACACAGCAAGCGACATGCACGCGTTCCCACACGTAAGTAGGAAAACTAAGGATGGTGAAATGGCAGGATAATTCATGAAAAATGTTCAAAGTGCCGCGTGTTTCTCGAAATTTCGAATCAATCTCGTTTGTCAACATTTGCGGTTTTATTTATTTTTGTGTTTCTTGTATTTTTGCCTTCTTTTCGGTGGCATTAATTATAAAAATATTGAAGCGTTTTAAAACGCGTGTTATGCGGAACAAAAAAACAGCAACAACAAAGAATTACCAAAAAGCCGTCGCCACTGTTTAGCATAGCACTTTACGTTTTTGTTTTGGCCAGCGACAATTTGACACTGACACAGTTAAGATTAAAGTCTTCTCGAAACGTCGATGGTGTGCCATGATGTTATGTGCATACATATACAAAAATATTTAAAACTAATCATTAAATCAAAGTAACTAAAAACGCACCTGGAACGCGCGCGTTTTGCTCACCGCATTTGTGGTAATGTAACGCGAGACGACCCTGAACTTGACTATATTATCGAGCAGGCTAACACAAGGCAAGTTGTTATTTCTGCTGCTAGCAGGCAACATGAGACATGACCGAAGCCCAGAGCCAGAGCTTTTCAAAACCATTGCAACAGCAAATCTGCAGCAACAATACCCGGTTTGTATACATGGTATGGTTTATGCTCGTGCTCAGAGTTCAGCGTGCTGCACGCTCAGTGCTGTGACCTTTCAGACATTGCCATCTGCCTTACTTTCATGACCAACTTTCAAGCTGCCCCCCACATGCATTATGCAATAGACGAATTATATGTCGCGCAAATTTCTCTGGCAACAATTAAAAAAGTCAAGAACAACACGAAATTCGCATACTTCTCAAAAACCTAACGTTTTTAAACTGCTCCATAAATGTACACACGCGTAGACTTATAAATACGAGTTATGGCTAGCGCACATGTGTTTTGGCATTTTTGTTTATTTATTTACGTTTTGGCACATCTACCAATAATCAAAATACAATATACAATGCGCACAAAAAAAATTAAATTAAATGTATTGGAAGAGTTTATGCAAGCTAGCAACAAAGCAAACTACAATTAGCCGACTCAAGTACTTCCTTATATAAGCAGTAAATACCAAATCATTATGAGGCAATTCTAGAAATATAAATTGTTGCGTATATTATTGACTAAATATATTTATATATCATATTATATACATATTTAGGTAGGGGATAGGCTGGCACATTTGTTTGATTATTCTTTCTTACTTTCTTTTTCACATAAATAATCAAATATTGTAATTTTAATTTAGGTAGTACAAGTTTAAGCAACCCGGATTGTTTGTTAAGATGGGCCCCTAATTGGGGATTTACTGTGAAGATAAACAGTTAATGTGTTAATATGGGAAATAACTGAATGTTAAATACGTAGATTTGAGCTCTGAACAAAAAAATACTAATGTGGAAATTGTGGTATTTGGGTGACTTCTTTATTGAACGATAAATGTAATGAATCTTTAAGGTCTGCCATCTATCTACAATCTTTAATATACATGAGGAAGAATTTGTAAGAGGATAAATTTGCTTGCATAGATATTCAGTAATTAATTGTTCTCACTTAAAATTACTCTAACGTTAAATCGGTAGATTAAGTTGTATGGCTGTCATAAAACAGATACGTTTGAAAGTTAATCTTTTCTATGCATTTGAATGTTAATTTAATTTTTGAATAATTATTTATAATCTGACTGGGCACACAGTCTTCTCGTTGGATGGCCCGACTGATGCGTTCCTACAAGTATTACCCATTCTTATTAGATAATTTAAATTACCTCAATATGAAATTCTTTATTTACTCAAATTCACTGATGTGATCATAAATTGTTTATGTGCTTTGGATTCCGATTTGAATTCTATACACACAGAAAAAACAAAATTGTTGCAACAGCGGCAGATTCCATTTATTTAGAGCAAGATGGGATCGTTCCGCATGTTTTGCTATTTGACATTTTCTATTTATATAGTGCAATATTTCTCAGACATGCGAGAAATCTATAACTTATAGTGCCAAAATATTTTTAAAAATTAATGGAATTGTGAACTCAAAACACATACATACGAGAGCCGAATCGATCGCCTGTTTTTTTTTATTATCTTTCGCTTTGTTATTATTCATTAGGGGCGGGTTGGGCCGGCAAACAAGTTTCGCTTAGTCGCTCTGGTCGTATAAATTGCTCGCCAAAGTGGCCTGAGGTATCACAAAAATTTGTGGCTAAATAAATAATAAAAAGTGCCTCTTCATGGTCAAACAGGATTGACGCCGCGTTGATTCGCAAAAAAAAACTTACTTATGCAAAAAAGCGGGCCAAAGTTTAAAAACAGCGCAGATGCCTCCAAAATAAATGAACAACAATCATCAAATTTTGTAGAAGCACAACGTCCACAGCATTCATTCTACATATTGATTGGCACAGATCAACGCGACTAAACTTGAACTAGAAGACAATGGTTTCCAAATAGGAGACTCTGAGATGGGTTGCTGTCTGAAGGGAACAAAAGATCGAGGTGGCAGTCCGCTTATTATTGTAAACGAGACTTGGTCTTTTGTTAGCCAAGAGCAGAGTTGGTTGGTTATTGGCTTAAGTGCTAAAACAAGTTTAAGGCATAATTTCTTGATTCCCATTGCTTTTGAACAACAAATTCTAGCTTAACATTTTCTTGATAATAGGTTGCGATGGTGGCTAATTGGGCGGATGGGTGGCGTAAACGCAAATTTTGTTCGTTTTAGCAATGCGAAGCCGGCTGTTAAAGCTATTGCTAGTGCTTGCAACATTCGGCCACAACAACAACAACAACAACAACAACAAAACCAAACAGAAAATGGGCGGCAGCTTTCCTATCTTCTTTATTGGCTGACAAGTGGCAAATTTTCTTTTTGGCGTCGGTAAAAAAATCAAATAAAACTCATTAAAAATGTTTGCTTGCAAATATTGCCAGTTCAGCCAATTGGTCAGTCGGCCAGTCAGTCAGTAAGTTAGGCGGCAAGTTGTTGCTACAGCTGCCACTATTCAGCGACATGTTGCAATATTATGCCCAAGTCCATCGTCTGCCTCTACCGCTTAATTGTTCAGACCGCTGTCCGATTGAAGCAAGCGCGTAATCAATTTACACGAGCTTTGTTTACTCTAGGCAGCAAACCATGGGTTCAGAAAATACCGTTGCCCTCCCTTGCCTTCTATTGCTGGATAGTTCCCCTCAGATGGCGCGGGCAGCTTCTGAAAAAGTTGCCAAATCATGCCGAGCATACAAAATAGTAATGTTGTGGAATATGAAAGTGATTCATATAAGTACATACTTGGTCGATCGAGTGTATTTCGACTATAGACAACTGCTGTTTAGCAGTTCCAAGTTTGGATGCGATGTCAGAGTCAGAAAAGCATACGAACGATGATGAAAAGGCGGGCAAATGGAATCACTCTGATGAGATTAATTTAAGAGGTTACGTGGTTACTTCGCAATGCTGAAGACACATGCCTTAGAAATGTTGAAATTTTCAATTTTTTTTTTCAGCTTGGACTTAAGTGCCGCTTATAAAGTTGTAGAGATTATAGCTTTTGGTTCATAATATAAAAATTTTCAATAAAAAGTTTCTTTTGTTTTAATAAAATTGGAATTGAAAGTCCATTTTGATCCCACTCCTTAAGCTCATCACTTGTTATGCTATTATACTATAGTGTCATCAAATCCAGTTTATCAAACTGGCTAATGGCAACCAATTACATTATTATTAAATGCTTATTAAATAACCCTTAACAAATTTTAGCATTTCCTAATTGAATTTTCGAAAAAATTACGAGAGTAATTTCATTCAATTCAATAATCCGAATTATTGCCAAAATAAAAAATAACCAAGCTTGACATTTATAAAAATAACTTCAAAGCTTTCAATAGCTGCTCAAGTGAGATATACTTACTATATATTTAAATTGTGAAAATTCGAGTTCAGCCCATTACTTTCATCAAAGAATTGTCGTGCTTTGGACCTGTTTTGAATGTATAATATTCCCAAATTATGCGTTCGCCAACAAACAGCACTTTTTATTATTTGTGAATACTCACCATTATGATTCATTGGAATTTCGAGCTCGGCTACCAGTTTGAGTGTAGTTGTTAGAAATTCACAAGTAGTCCATTTATACTTTCGTGGAATATGATATAAACTGCCACACAGCGAGCTACATATTATGTAGAATTTAAGCCGCCTGGACCCAAATCATTTTTAGTTTGCACACAATAATATTTGAGTCAAATTCGAAGCCAGTTGCAGTACTTGAAAATAACTGTTAAATGCAAGTTGATTCGACAACTTAAGGTATCAACTAAACATAAATTAAAATTGCTTTAAGATCGAATTTAAGTCCCCCATTGTTTCACAATCGGAACTATTGACGTCATAAACAAGCAATCAACGGTTATGGAGCGATCAATTGAAAAGCAGTAGCTTCTGCTTGTTCTCAAAACAAAAGACTTAAGGCACGAACATATCTTAATTTGCTTACCAATTTGCTGTTACTATCATTCTTGTTTTTATGTTGTTGTGGTTTTTGCCGCTGCTACCGGTGGGCTTTCAAACAACATAAGCGTGGGCCGCGTGCCCCGCGTGCCAATGAAATTCTCACGCTTAGAATGGATAACACCACCACCAATGCGGGTGGCGCACACGTGCCATACATTCATAAGCACACACACACATATTCATGCTCAGGAATGTATGTACGTATAAAATTGCTTGCCCGAGTCACAAAGTAATGGCTAAAAAACATTTTGGGACTGCGTTCGTTCCAAACACAAACAAAACAATTAATGGATAGACAAAAGCGCCACACTGATCGCAACAACAAAAGCATCTCTAACGCTCACAGCATAATTTGCATGAACAATCGGCGAGCGTGTGTGTAGTTTTTATACTCTCTACCTAAAGGTTACGAATTGTGTTAGGTTTTATTTTATATTCTCTGTACCTGAAAGATACAAAATTACATAAGGTTTGTGCGAACTAAAAAATGTAACAACCACAAGGAGGCGTGGCAGCCCCCACAAAGTATATATATTTTTGATCAGCATGATAAATCTTCTTGTTATTATAATTTTGGTTAATGTTTTTCTATTTTTTAATGTTGTTAATTCTCTACACATAGATACAGAGTATTTCAATGTCGGGGCTCCTGACTTCAGCTTTTCCACTTGTTTAGAATTTGAATTGTCGCGATTTGCACACAAAGCAGAAATCGAATTTTTTTGGCCATTCAAACAATTAAGATATCATATTTAAATATATAGCAAGCTGTCCGCTACGACATCGCTGTTGACGCTGCAACCAACGTGATATTTTTGTTTTGTCTATTCCGCTTTCAACTGTTCTTTATTTTCAAATTCGCATTTGCTCAGTTCATGCATCAAAATCAATTTCAAATGAATTTAAAAAATATATTTGACGCGTTGTTTGAATATTAAATAGCCCACTAATTTTTTAGCGGGGCTTAAATGAAAGTAGCGCTTCCCGTGTGTTCGCAAACAATCGACTCTGTCAGTAGTCACTGAAAGAGTCGTCGATGTGCCACGCGCGGAGCAAACCAAGATTTAATCAAGGATTAAAGTGCTGTTTAATTAGTATTTAAGGCAAATAAAAATATGGCCGTCATGAGGCGTCGCTTGCGTCGTCGGTCGTTGAAGGACTTTATTGGGTCTTTTTACACACGTCGCTTCTCTTTAGAGAAGTTGCGGCACTATCATCAGTTGCGTAATCGACAGCAGCTGATATGTAAGCCCATCAGTTTAATATGTGCAAGTGATAACTAATAGGTTTGCCAGATACTTACATTTTCAAATAAGTATAAACATATTTGCGGTTGCACTTGCATCATTTGCGGTTTTTATAAATAGTTACCCCATTAGGGCCATAAATACCTTCACACACATATTTATAGGCATTTTAAAGTACATTCACACATATGGGTACAAAAAGCAAAGAATTAAATCGTTACATTACACGTATGTTCTATTAAAAGCCGTGACGAAGAAGAAGGAATTATAAAAATGCTGCTACGGCAAAAGGAAAAACCCCTGAGAACTGGTTACATAAAAACACAGCAGGATCCAACAGAACAAGCTCAAAGTCAAAGCCAAGTGGTCAACAAAGAGCTAATTTCATGCCCTATTATTATTATTATTGCATTGTGAACAAGCTCAATCCTGTAGTTACGAATCAGATATGACAGCCAATTAATTTTAGCAAGTATAAGTTGAAACCGTGACTAGGAATTCAAGTGCCTACATTTACTTAAGAAATCGACTATCATTCTGAAAAATCAACAGGTTTTGCGTCCAAAAGCTCTTTATATCGAATACACTCTGTGTTACCATTGCATTTTGCAAAGAAAAGCAAAAGTTCCTAACAAAAGCAAATATGTAGGCAATAAAAATCAGCCAACATATACTTACACACATATGTATAGTATATATACAAATGAGTGCTGATCATTATTGATACCATATAGCCCAGCTTTAAAACCAGTTCCAGTCCGAACCCGAACTTGGGCTAAGGTTGAAGCACCACTCTCGGACCCATCCCAGGCACATGCGTTGCACATGCACGTGCCCGAGCACGCATTGACCGTGCGATCACATTTGAGATTTTTGCATTTCACTGCCAAACAATAGAGGCCGAGCAGCAAGTTCTTGACCAATGCAACTTGGTCAGCAACGGGAAAAACGAGTTACCTTGATTGGAGACCACGGCAATGTACCTATGTACCTATATAAGTATATTTACACATATACATGCTGTTGACGTCGTCGCTGATCTGACCGATGTTTTTGTTGTTTTAATGAAGACATTTATATGCACGCATTTAGACGGGTGGTGGCGATATACCGGCTTCGTGACTTATATGTCATAAAAATGCGAATATACGCGACATTATTTTATGATATGTTGAAAACAAATCAACTATATACTACCTATGGACCTAGCATACTATACCTACATTCGTACATACTATATGTAGTATGAACTTCCACATACATACATATGTACGTACATACTGAACATGGGGTCAGGGGTAACCTGTGTAGTCGTAGTTCCTGCCTCAAGTAATAAATATTTTCTTGAGTGTATGTGAGCTGTGCAGGCGGCAATTGTCAAAGCCCTACCCACCCCCCAACCCAATTAAGTATTATTCAGGGTCTTACCAGAGTCCAACATTAATTCAAATCTGTCGGCAAACCGCGCCCGAATTAAATTAAAAACTAGCTCGCAGCAGGTGTTGCTGTCGCTGATCTATCAGATTATACTACTTGGCCAGTGTACTTTAATACGCGTCGACAAGACAGTTCCACCCAAAACTAAAAACAAAATAGCTCTTCAAATTAAAATTTGGCAACACGTGCTTTTTTTTGCATAATTAATTGTGTTTTAATGAACTTAATGAAGTTATTTGTATGTAGCCAACGCATTTAAATAATACTTTTGTTCATCTCTTTATCATTTGCAGGTGCTTTTTTGCTTTTGGCCATTGGATTTTTGGCTATAACAACAGCGGTACTGGTTAAAATATTTCAACCCTACGATTTAATATTCAATTGGGTAAGTGTGTCCCATAGCAGTTTTACGGCCGTCCTTAGCCTTTAGTCATATGTCCAAATGGTTTCTCTCAAGGGCCATGCAACCAATTTTGTTGGGCAGGCACGTATGTACGGCTGACAAATCAAAAGTGCTGTCGTTTATGGGACAAGCATTTTGCACATCTTTGACTGAAATTTGCAGTCACCAACTTTTAAACCAAATACATATGTCGGACTTCTTTAAGGCCAAATCTTCAAAATGAAAGCACTAATCTAAATTATTATTGTTCTTACCTTACATCCCTTAATCAACAAAAATATAGTGAAGATATTCAAATTGTTGGTAATTTTGTTCTCCAAACAACATATTTAAATAAATCTATATACTATAGAGTATCATGAAGAGGAACATATCGTTTGAACCAAAAAATTTGCCTCAAATCTTCCAAGCAACAAAATATTTATGAATCTAGCATAGCTAAGCATATGGTCTTAATTATATTATTTTACAGAAATTGATAATGGCCGAAAATGGTGAAATCTTTAATCTCTGGGCCAAGCCTCCAGTCGATTTGTATATTAAAATCTACTTATTTAACATCACCAACGCGCCAGCGTTCCTAGCGGGCCGTGAAAAGATGAAAGTGGAGCAAGTGGGTCCTTACGTGTACAAGTAAGTAATATTGAAGTGTAAAAATACATACTTGTATGTACTTGGATATAAGAATTATAATGTTGATTCCTTGCGCAGAGAGATAATGACGCATGAGAACATCACCTTCAATGAGAATAACACAATGTCTACCACTCCAAGTCATCCATTGGTCTGGCAGGAACATTTATCCGAAGGCCGTCGCGAGGACGATGAAGTTGTCATGCTGAACATTGCCATGCTGGTGAGTTCGCTTTCTTCATACATATAGTCGTTGTTATTCTGTATTGACTAATATACATTTATACATACTTGTACGAGTATATGTATAAAACTAATGTGCAATCAATTAACAATTGCAAGGCGAGTATGACAGTCGCTGTCACGGCGCCCACTTATGTAAATTTGTTGTAGCTCTTCGAAATGCTTACCGCCCAAGCAGTAACAACAACAATAAGCAGTGGAAATCGCGTGCCGTGCACATGGCACACGAAAATACATATAATATTTTAACTGTGATAAACAAACAAATAAGCGAATCGGACGAGCACGTTTAGGTCAATAAACGTTACACATTACGCGGCAACAACAACAATATCAACAACAACAAAGGCGAATACTTACGAACAAACAGCCAAACAAACATACAGACAGCCATACGGTAGAAAGGTAGAGAGGCAAGCAGCAACAATAAAAAGGCAACTAAAGTAGCGTTAAAAATTGCCAACATGTTTAACTAAATGGGCAACAATTAATTTGCAAACAATAAAAAAAGAGTATAGTGTGGTGAGAGTAAGGAGTAAGTGAAGTTGAGGTAAGCATTGAAATGTCAGTTATATGTAGTAATAGTCATAGGCATCCGGGCACACTTTTGCGTTATTTATGGCGCTAGCTAGCCAAGTTAGCCAATAGGCGAGAAAGCGTCATTTATTTCTGTGTTATTTATTTATTTACATGTAATTAATAATATTAACTATATTCGTTGGTGCAGTAGGCGTGTTTGTTATTGTCGCATGCAATTTTCACCGATTAATGAATGTTTTGCGTTTGAAAGCTTGAAAAGCTGTGCAATTGATAGTGTTAAATAGTTAAACTGTATAGTTGTTTTCAACTTTGAAAATGTAACTAATTGTTAACTTTATGATATTTCAATTAAATGCATTTAAAATTTGCATTTTGCAGTAAACATTCAATTGCTTAAAGCCATTTATCTACTTTAAGTTGGCATTCCGAGGCCAACTCGAAATATCACGTGGGATATAGGCTTAATTTCACAAGATTTCCTTCAATTTGCACATTAAAATGGAATTTTATAATTTTCGTTTCGCTTAACTTATAAGTTATTAAAATTTTAAAGTATTCCGCAACAATAATAACTACTTCTTTAAAGCTATTTAAATTTATTAATGTATGTTTTAATTGAAATGCAAGTGAAATATATATTTTCACCTGTAGATCATCCTAAATTCTGAAAGTTTAATGAAAGAATAAGCCAATATAGGAAAAGTATTAAGACGAAACGGATCAATTTGCTGGCTTGTAACTCCATTGATATATGTAATTATTGCTTTTTCCAAAACAATGAATAAAACATGCATCAGTCAGTCAGCCATTCAATCAGTTAGCTAGTTGCTCATATTATGGCATCGGAGAACAGGAAATGCACTATTACTATTAATTAGATGCTATATTTATTGACTGTAATAGTCGGCCATAACAAGCTGTTGAGCTGCACATGCCGCACGCTATCCCCCATCCCAGTATTAACTTGACATTGTGAACTCTACCATTGCAGGCCATATCGCATTTGATGGCAGATCGGCCATACTTTACGAAATTGGGGTTGAACACGCTTTTCATTACCACCAAGTCGCAACCAATTGTGCGCATGACTGCCAAGGAGTTCATGTTTGGATTTTCCACCGCCCTGGCCACTCTGGGAAACACACTTTTGCCAAATTGGATTTACTTTGAAAAAGTGGGCCTTATCGACCGCATGTACGATTTCTCCACGGACTTTGAAACCTTCTACACAGGTGTGCCAAATCCGGCCATATCTGGTCTATATGCCACATATCGGGGTAAAACCAATCTGCCCCAATGGCCGGGTGGGGAGCACTGTAGCAACATTGAGTATGCATCGGATGGCACCAAGTTCAAGAGCTTCATAAAGCCCAATGAAACGGTCAAGTTCTTCAGAAAGAGCATGTGCAGACCGATTAATTTGGTAAGTATTTTGAAACAAATGTGAAAATAGAGAGAGATTTTCTTAATTTGTTGCTCTTGTTGTTTATAGTATCGTGTAGGTGAGGAGAAAACATTCGGCAGCCTTAAAGGATATAACTATGTTTTTGAGGAAAACGCCTTTGATAATGGTGCCATCAATGAGGCAAACAAATGCTTTTGTCGCAATGGTAAGTAGCACATCACAATAATAACAAATAAATATTTTAAATAATTTATTTAATTTATCTCCGAATAAAAAGACAGCAAGAAACATAAATCATAATATATGAAAATATAATAAGCTTTGATTTTATATATAGATAAATATATGTATGTATTAATAAATGAAAAAGAGTTATCTATAAACAGCTAACAAAATTTGGAAATGCTTTTCGCATCAAGGAATTTGTTTTTTGCGTCTGTAATCTTTAAAATATTTGACTGTAGTTAGGCGCTACATATGCGAATCAAAAAATTCCGTCATTTAAATTCATGACGCAAGTCGCTTGTAAATTTTTCCAGTAATTTAAGGCATTCTTTTAAAATGCTTCGATCGACACGCGACCGTTAAAGACAGCTGACAAAAATACTTTGATCTATGTACGTACATATATATAAACTCCTATATATGGATACATACATATGTATGATCAATTCATTGCAAAAGAGGGCGTTTGCTTGTTAAGAACAGTAGCTACAAACTCATAATGACATGTCATTTTGCACTGCGTTGGAACTTTTCCACTTTTTAAATTGCACTTTTAAATCTGTTGAGTCATTGAATGGCAACTTTTTAATGATATTTCTTTACTCTACATACACATTTACAGGTGATTGCCAGAGTGTTGGCCTTATTGACGTCACAGATTGCTACTACGGCTTCCCCATATCGCTGAGCTTCCCTCACTTTATGAACGGCGATGTGGGACTTCAAGAGAATATTACAGGCATGCAGCCAGATCCTGAAAAGCATTCATCAGCATTTGTCATACAACCGGTAAGTGAGCGCGTGACCTTGCCTATATAAGAGTTTGTATGTACGAGAATGTTGCGGTTTTTGTTTGTTGTCGCTGATTCTACATTAATAGCGGCGACTTTCAATATGTCAGTCATCACTAAAAAAAACGTTTAGCCAACAAAAATGTACGCAATTTCGCATTAATAATGCATATAAATATTATAATTAACTACAATATATGAGTGAGGCATGCAACTGTTGTTGTTGCCGTTGTTGTTTTTATTGTTTTAGGGGTTTCAGCAAACGCTGCTTCTTAGAAACCTCCAATCGCGTGAAAGCAATTGCCAAGCAGCTATTGGGTGTCAATTTAGTTTTTATATTTATATTTCCGGCTAATTAAGTTAACCGTAAAAACTTGTAGTCACGATAATGCCACAAAATATATAACCGGAAATCAAAGTTCATTTAAACAACAATTGCAAGTAATAACTATTTCCTGTACACTTAGTAACTAATTAAAATGTCTCAAAAATTAAAGAAATGAAAGTTTAAAGTGCTTTGATTAAAGTCTCCCCTTTGCTAGATCTCTATTGAGGTCACAAACTAGTTATTATATATATTGCACTATGAACTAAAAATATTTTCAAAATGTTCTTGATTGGGATTAATTTCCCACTGAACTTTAGATGGAGATTATTCCGTATATTACTTTAATTCAAGAGGTCATTGATGATTATAGGCCTTAGTCAGCTATTGATTTTTAATACGCGCTTACTTGTCCTAGGAACATTTTCAGATTTAGAGACTTAGATATATAGGGTCAAGCAAGGTAACTTAATATGTAGTTCCAAAGCCCAATGGAAAACATAAATTACAAAACTAGCTCGCCCAATTGACGTAACTGCTGAACAATTAAAAGCATTTTTATCAAATCAAACCTCTAATTGCCAGCCATATGCTTAATCGATCAATCAGTCAATATCAACAGCAATTCCGCCAAGTACTACCGGTTTCGCACAAAATAAAAAAAAATGCAATGAACTTAATGTTCAACAACAGAATGCAATGTGAAATACGCGAAAAGTCTATGGATTACTAAGGACAACAACTCGTCGTTGTCGCAACCAGCAATACCCAGGCCTATATTTAAGCGCAATTTTGTGAATTAGGCCAAGTACAGCTAAAATGGTGTCGTACTTGTGTCGGAAATCCCAAAGTCGCCATTGAAGCAGCAACAACACCATCAATTGTGAAAAAAAGTATTTTATCGAGCGTTTCATAATATAATTACAATCTTCCATTTTTAGGAATCCGGTCTGCCACTATCACTCTCTGTTAAAGTGCAAATCAACATGCATTTCAAGGATCTTCATAGCTTTCCCCGTGTGTCTAAGTTTAGCCACTTGACTGCGCCAATGTTATGGTTCGAAATTGTAAGTACTTACGTTTGTATATTGGATATAAATTTTATCTCACTTAAGCGGCATATGCAAATATCGTTGGTGCATTCCAAAGATGCCTCTAATAAAATTTCTATTATATTGATCAGTTTCATAAACCTATTGAACAAAAGGTCAACTGTCTAATAAAAAACTTATATTCATATAAATTTCAAAGAGAACTTTTATATAGTAAATGCACATACAAATGTCTGGCATGATTAGAAGTGACAAAGATCACAGTGTTTATTGTAGTAAGTTTGTAATATTTATATTGATGCTCATACAATTTAGATACATTTTTGAACAAGAATGGGATGATAAAGTCGGGTGGGCAAAAGTCTTACATACCCACTCAAAAAAAATTGATATTTGTTATTCTAGCCTTTATACTTTTTCGTCCAAAATATGCATAAATACAAGCCTCCTCCTTTTAACAGTATACCTGTATACCCCTTGGGTAAGGATATAATAAACTACGTTTTCGCAGAAAACAAATATTTTAGTGTTTCTGTAAAAACTTGAGAATAATTTAATAAATATAAAAATAAATATGCCCAAGTAAAATTTCTCGTTTTTGGAATTAACTGCAAAATGCAAAACCCTTTTGGGGTCATATTAAAACTTTGTATCTATGTAAATAGTATTTGCATCACGCTCTGTGGTAGTTTCACTTTTGGAAAATACAACCGCAAATGATGTTAGTTTAATTTTTTCTATGGTTTTCAAAAAATATTATGTATGTATATTTGAAATATTTCCATATATTTAACTTGAATGTATTTTTATATTCTGCCATTCAGATGATGCCTAATCTGCCTGAGTCGCTGGATACGCGCTTTAACTTTTATTTAAATCTTCTGCCTCTGGTAAATCCGTTGGGCTTTTGGGGTGCTCTAACCCTAGGCGTCGTATTGCTCGTCTATGCCATTACACGCGCCACTCTGCATATGTCCAGCTACGCGCGTCAAGCAGCCAACATATCCGATGGCAAATATGGGCGTGCCAATCTCCTGCAAAATCTGACTGGCAGCCCAAGCGCCAATAGTAGCAATCAGGCTTACAGTCCTTGCGAACTAAAGTTATTGGATGACACGCAGTCTAACAAGAAACATGTTATCATACGTGGAATCGATGGCGAGTTGGCCTACCAGGAGCGGCGACAATCCTCATACGCATTGGAACTGGAGCCCGCTCTCTCGGGCTCAGAAAGCAGTGACGAGGGCAACGATAGCGATACTGTGACTTTAAGTCGCAACTCCACCACGTCAAGTTCTTGCATGGAAGCTGAGCACTGCGTAGATGAAGATATCTGCTTGGACTGTTTCGATGATGCTGTGAGTTCAAGCACGAGCAGTCTTAGTCACAGCAGTGGGACACAGGCAGTGGGGAGTGACAAGCAACAGCAACAGGTAAGCAAACAACCAACGTACTAGCACAGTTATGTCATTAGCAAGCGACATAACAGCCCGTTCGTCCAATCATGCACAGTCGACACTGTTTAAGGAAATCGCAGTCAAAGTCGCAGTCGCCAAGCTGTCTAACGTGTCTGAGGCGGGCGTTGGTTAAGCCCGATGCCGATTTTGCGATTTGCGATATTGATGAATATTTGCAGTCATTAGTTTACCCGCGTTTTATGCCCAAATTTACGGGTGTGTTTGTGAAATGATTTCTTTCAACTTTTAATATTAAAGTTCGGTTGCTGGGTAGAGCAGACAGCAAACGCGGCGAAAAAACCCGTTTTCTTTTTCATGCACGCGCTTAGTATTAATTCATATTAAAGAATGTTTGAAATCAATTTTCCATAAATCTAATTTTAAACAACAATATGTTAATTAAATGTGTTCGCTTTCTTCTATCATTCTCAAACAGTTGGGTGTGAGTTTTGCCAGCAGCGGTTTCGCCTCTTCACCTGCCTCAGCCAACAGCTCTAGCTCTCAAGTGAATATGGTTGTAGGTAGCGGTAGCAGCGACAGCAGCAACAGTGCCAAAAGCTGGACTCCATATGCGCATCCAGAACAACTTGGTGGGACAATAACAACATCCATGAAGCATGTGTAGAATCGTAGTTGAAATGTCCCACTAATTAACGGCTAGATTAGGTTAGGTTGTCGGTTTTTACCATAGCTATAAATATGTATATAGATATAAGCATATCATTTTTACAACTGTAGTTTTGGGCATATTGGTCATACCTGCACCATGCATCGGATTAATAAAATATTCTGAGAGTAATTCTTAGTTATATTGCAAATAATATTTGAACCAAAAACTGGTTCACTACTGTGATAGCTTTAATAACAAAAAAATGGAATGTAGTTGTCCAAATCCCAACCCCATTATATATCCTCTGTACATAGCTCCCAATTTGTTTTTAATTTGCAAAAACTAACATTTGAATTGCATTATTTATATCGAAATAGTTTAAGCAGAGAAATAACTCTCACCTCCATGAGGTTCGTTGACCAAAACGAAATAATTTGAATTTAAATATGAATTAAAGCAAATTATAATGAATACAATAAGAAAATCGCGAATTGTCGCTGAATTTGGTATTCTATGCTAAGAATTGCTGTGATTTTGTGTTGAATCTGGGCACCGTAGAATTTATAAGTTAATACATGAGTTGTTAACAGAAAAGAAAATGTCTGCACTAAATTAAGTTAGCTTTAGTGTTTTAATGTAAGTTTTTCAAAAATTTACGTGTATATATATATACCTTGCAATAAATGTGCATAAAAGCGTGAGCCACCAATTTTAATTATGAATGGTTTTGACCAACAACAACAACAATTTTGTTGGAAGAAGTGAAGGTTTTGTATTACTTTTATACCTTTAATGGGACGAAATATCTGTATTGGAAGAAAATAATAATCAAAAAAAAGGAGGCATGACATTATTATCTTTTCAGTTAACTCAACGTGATAGATCTTAACATGATGCCACATTAGCACTGGATGTTAATGTCGAATTTAAAAATTTCAAGAATTGTGGCAAAAACACAAACTTGATTTGACTAGGGAATAGGGGAGCCTGGATACCAAGTTTGATTATTATTGCTCTTATACTACCTGAGAACCTTTTGTTCATACAGACCGGCGGATTATGTCATCTTTCAATTCGTCTTGTCATGGTGATCAAGCATATATATTCTTTTGGAGGACTTCCACACCTCCTTCTGTGTGTTACACGCATTTGCACTAAACTAATATAGCCTTTAATGCCTTGGGTACAGGGTATAATTTACAATTTACAATTTAATAACATATACCGTGTGTGCCAATTCTCAGAGTATTATATTTATTTATTTTAAAAAAGCGATATATATGTACATATATCTGAAATACGCCATGCCCATCCCTAATGCACTCTTTATCTTATCAATATAAATTTTAAAAATTGAAACGTATTTTCAACAATTAGATCTGTCTTTATATAACACATATGGCAACCACAAAAAGAAACAGCTGTGCTTTTAACGTCAACCAATAACGATGTGTTTTCGTTAAATAGGCAACTCTAAAGTACTCCAGACTTTGGACTTGGCGGCCCCACAACAGAGCGTAAGATAATGTGAGTGTTTTGGTTCGAGAATGCCCCCCTGTGTGAGCATTCGTCTTCGACGTGTCGCCTACGCCGGCAGCAACAGCCACTAAAGTTAAGAGTGGCCAAAATCAGTCAAAACGAAACCGGTCGTGGTAGCTGAAAGTGAAGCAACTTGTTGCACTTTTGCCTACGTGGACTACGACTTCAACTATTTTGGTTTTAATTAATAGCTCAATAAAAAGAAAGACGAACACTGCCGACGCTAGTGTTGCGGTTGCTCCGGCAAAGGCGTTCATTTTTGTTTATCTTGCACTCCAAAGGTTTTCGTGAGATTATGTTCCAAAGGTGAATTTAATAATAACACACTCTTTTGCAGACACTTATTTTTACCTTTGCCCTAAATTTATTCCGCTTTTGCAGTGCCCCAAATTATAGCATTAGCACAGCCCTAAAGCCAATAACCGATATGAGATTCCTGAGCAAGGGCAGAGTATTTTGGAATTTGGTCTGTGAAAAATCCATTACTACAAATATACATATTTATGAACATAGTTTTGTGACATTGCAGACGAAAAGCTCGATTACCTATCAAACTCCGAATGCCGTTGTAAGACTACGGCCCGTCAACTTTAGCAGCAGCAGTAATCAGAACGATGTGGGCGACAAATGCCAGACGAAACAAAAGCAAAAACTTTTGCAATATCATGTTCTGCCGCTGGAGGAGACGCTCAAGCGGTTCATGGACACTGTCAAGCCTCTGTTAACGTGCGAGGAATATGAGCAGCAGGAGAAAATAACTAAGAAGTTCGCCGACGAGGAAGGAGCCGAGCTACAGAAACTGCTTGTGGAGACAGGCTGTGAGGAGAAGAACTGGTTGGCACATCGCTGGCTTAAAGTTGCCTACTTGCAATATCGCGACCCCGTTACAGTCTACGTCAGCCCTGGAATGACATTTCCCGTGCAAAATTTTGCCGATACACAAGCGTATGTTGACTATGCTGCCAAAGTTGTTTTTGGCTTAGGCGAGTTTAAGGACATGGTGGATGCAGGTAAAATGCCTATCTTGAAAATGGGGAAACACGAGCTGGACAACAGCCAATTTGGCAAGGTTTTCGGCACGTGCCGCATTCCACAGCGTGTTACAGATTGTATCGTATACAATCCATGCTCCGACTATGTAGTTGTGCTCTTCAAGAATCACGTAAGCAGCAGCTTTTCATTAAGCAACTAAATGTGTAGCTCATATTGCATTCCTTTTAAAGTTTTACAAAATGCAGCTGTACAATTGTAACGGATCTTTATTGTCAGCTAAAGTCCTGGCCAAAGAAATTAAGAAGATCATGGAAATGGAGGCAAGCTCCCCATTTGGCACACCTTTCGGACTCCTTACCACGGATACACGAGACAATTGGGCTGAGGCCTACGAGCATCTCGTAAAACTACCTGGAAACAGTGAAGCCGTAAAAGTAATACAGGGCGCACTGTTTACTGTATCCCTTGATCAATGCATGACACCGGAACCAGGGCAGGAAACCAATCAACTAGCACTTCAGTTAATACACGGTGGCGGTAGTAAAATGAATAGCAGCAACCGCTGGATGGATAAAACTGTGCAGTTAATCATAAATCCCAATGGCATGGTTGGTTTCACCTATGAGCATTCCCCTGCTGAAGGACAACCTATAGCAATGATGATGGACTATGTGGTTAAAAAAATGTGAGTCTAGACAGAGTAGACTAATAATTGCGATGCCCATAACTGTTAATTACTAACTGTTTACATACTAAATATTTAAACTTAGGAAAGAGGACAAATCTTTTGGTGAATGCGGTGCTACGGATGACTACAAACCCGCATCAAAGCTCAAGTTTTGTCCACTGAATCCGTGCATCGAGCAATGGGTATTCATAGCGCAACGTAATATTGACAAGTTGGTATATAATTTGCAAATGGAAGTTCTTAAATTCGAGGGCTTTGGCAAGGATGTGATTAAGAAGTTGCGCTTGGGCCCGGACAGTTTTATACAAATCGCCTTGCAACTAACATTCTATAAGTATGTGTGCATGGATAAATCCACAATGGACAATCTTTATATAACATAACACACCTTATTTCCAGAATGCATAAAGTGCCGGCAGCTCAATACGAGTCCGCCCATCTCCGAATTTTCGATGAAGGACGCACGGAAACCATTCGCTCATGCTCGAATGAGTCTGTAGAATTTTGCCGTGCCGTGGATGAATGTAAGGGTACGGATAAATACCGAGGTGAATTACTGCGCAAAGCGGTAAACAGCCATCAGGTAAATTTAACTCCATTGACTTTTATTAAAACTGTTCATATTTGTTTATCCTTTCTTAATATCAATATTAAACCCTCAGTCCTACACCAAATTGGCTCTTCAGGGACGCGGCGTCGACCGACACTTGCTTGGCTTGAAACTGATGGCTGTTGAAAACGACTTGCCAGTGCCCAAGTTCTACTCGTCTCCAGGATTTGTTAAGTCATCGCACTTCCGTGTGTCTACATCTCAGGTGGCCACCCCTTATGATGCCTTCATGGGGTACGGTCCTGCTACAGATGATGGTTATGCCTGTTGCTATAATCCTCGGGAATGCGACATAATATTTGCCATATCTGCATGGCGTCACAATAATATTACCAATCACGTAAAGTTCGCGAAAACTCTTGCAGCCTCACTTATAGAGATGAAGAATTTGGCTGAGCACGCACCACCGCCTCCACCACCGGAAAAGCCAAAGTGCCAAAGCAAGTTGTGATGGGCCACACAAATTTTAAATAAAAAGTTGTTATAAAATTCATAAGTGAAATAAAATACCAGTTTATATAATTAGATAAAACGCGGGAGTCATTTTTATAAGGCCTGACACCCAAAATCGATTTTTTGATCTAGTTATCCAAAAAGGGTTTTTTCTTATTACATTTTTCTTTTCGATTACATTCAAAATTTAGCTTGAGCTCACAAAACCATGCATTTTAATTAATAACATTTAGAATAAGCTCACAATGCGTTTTCTACTCACTAGTGAGCTTTTTTTCAACATTGTAAGTCCATTGGGATTATGAGCATTAACTATAATTAACTACAAAACAATTCGTAAATATTATCAGTTAAAAGGTCCCTCCCGATGCTATAGCAAAGATAAATCGGCGGATCCTAAACATCCCAAGGACTTAAACTTTCAATCAACAAAAACCACGCAGTCGGTTGCTGTATCTTCCAAAATACCAGCTGATTTAGTAGAGAAAAGCCCTGCCTCAAAAACATTAAAGGCCGCTGAATCTCCAAAACTAACACATGAACTGATAAAGGTCAACCAGCCCAAGGCATCAGCGAAAGTAGCAGTTCGGGAAGCAGTTTCAAATGCGCAGCCGAATGTAAAGGACAGTGGCAAGATTACACAAATTCCTAGTGATACTGGGAAACAGGTATCTACAGAAAACAGTAAACCTGCAGCAATTCAAGAGTCGTTTAAAAACCCGTCAAACAAAATACCATTGTCAACTGTTTCCCCCAATCCCAAAGGAGCCGTAGAAAAGAAACAAAAACTGCTTACTTATCCAGTTGTTCCATTAGATGAAATACTCAAACGATTTCTACGCACCGTCAAACCACTACTGAGGAAAAAGGTGTTTAAAGAACAAGAAGAACTAACTAACCAATTTGAAAAGAATGAGGGCTCTGAGCTCCAACGTCTGCTCGAAGAGGCAGGTCGTTTGGAAAATAATTGGTTAGCAGATCGTTGGAAAAGGGTCGCCTATCTTGAGAATAGAGCGCCACTTACAATATTCACAAGCCCCTGCATGACATTTCCAATGCAATATTTTCAAAACAAATCCAAATTTCTTAGCTTTGTCGCAAAGGTGATCTACGGCATGGGTGAGTTTAAGGAGATAATTGACGCACAGAAACTTCCTGTTGTTCAGATGGACTCGTTCAATTTGGATAACAGCCAGTTCTGTAAGGTGTTCGGTACAGTGCGCAAGCCAAGGCGTTTTTGTGATGTTTTGGAACAGCATGCCCAATCTAACCATGTAGTGGTTATACACAACAACCACGTAAGTTAGTCAGTCAAGGTTTATTTTGACTAATTTTAATATCCAGCCCCCAGTTCTACAAGATTTCAATTTACAATGACAACGGCAAATTACTACATGTAGATGTACTGACTGAACTCTTGACGAACATCTACAACCGAAAACGAACCAAAGGACCGAGCGTGGGCCTCCTGACCCACGACCAACGAGATAATTGGGCTGAAACCTATGCGCTTCTTAGCCGTAATCCAAAGAACTTACAAGTCTTAAAAGTCATAGAGCAGGCTTTGTTTACGGTCTCACTAGATAGGAATGTACCAGCCACTAAGGAGGATCAGTTAAATGTCCTTGCTCAGCAGCTCCTCCATGGCGGAGGTCTAATGGAGAATAGCTCCAACCGTTGGATGGATAAAACTTTACAGCTCATTGTTAACCCCAATGGCATGGCTGGTTTTTGTTTCGAGCATGCACCAGCAGATTGCCAGCCCGTTGCCGTGATGATGGATTTTATACAGAAGAAACTGTAAGTTTTAACATCTGTGGGAAAAGTATGGAATAGATTATGTTAAGACAAAAGTTAACAGACGCTAATTTTCTCAATTGAACTAATACAAGGATAAATCATAGACATTAAAAAAAAAATATTCAGAAAAAAAAATTTAGTGAACCTGTAATAATAAAAACAAAAATGTTGATCGATTATACCCCTTGGCTATTTAAACTCTGGTAAATGCACATTAACATCGGAATTGTGTCTATATGTCTATGGCCAGGCTCTGACCGCAGCTGTGTTGTTGTTGCTGCCTTTGCTCAACTCTGTACAGCACACTTACACGAACACATAGTCACGAATAGATACACATAGCCACAATGTTGATGTAAATGCATGTTCTAATGTAACTGTACAACTCGATGTACATACTTGTACAAGTATGTATGTGTTATATTTTTAAGAGTAAAGCCCGCGCCTCTAGCATTGCTTTCTTAATTCTCTCCACACTATTATTTATAAATATCTTATTCATCTGGAATTTACAATTCCTTATTTTAGGTCAGATGCCAACTATGGAACATGTGGTTGCAAGGAGCACAAAGATTCGAACTGTGTAACGCCGCTCAACTTTGCCCCGCCCGACAAATGCATTAGTTTCTGGCTAACAATAGCTGAACGGAACATTGAAAATTTATTGCCGCAACTGCAGGTTCACGTATTTAAGTTCATGAGCTATGGGAACAACTTCATCAAAGCTCAAGGCCTTAATCCGGACAGCTTTATACAGATGGCATTGCAGCTGGCGTTTTGTCGGCAACACTGTCAGTTACCCGCACAATATGAGTCTGCACATTTACGCCTCTTTTCGGGCGGACGCACCGAGACCATACGCTCCACATCCATGGAGTCACGTCACTTTGTGCAGGCTATGACAAAGGCAAAGACGAGCAGAAATCAGCGTTTGAAGGCCCTTCGCGTCGCCGTCGATGGCCACCAGGAGTACACAAAGCTGGCGCTGCAAGGACGTGGTGTAGATCGACATCTGCTTGGACTGCGGCTAATGGCTCGTGAGCATGGCAAGCCGCAGCCTAAGTTTTTTAAGTCCGAGGGTTTTGCTAAGTCTATGCATTTTCGCATCTGCAGCTCCCAGGTGGCAACCAACCATGAAGCCTTTATGGCTTATGGGCCGGCAGTCAGAGATGGCTATGGCTGCTGCTATAATCCACGTGCAGCTGACATAATTATTGCCATATCTGCTTGGCGGTCCAACCAGAAAATATGTGCCACACAGTACGGCAAGTCAATAGAGACAGCGTTGAACGAAATGGGCCAATTGATAATGGATAACAAGGAGTTTCTGTGCATAAAAAAATAAAAATAGCAATTAAACTCAAATTTGGATCTTTATTTTTTTTAGCTAGTAGATATTCAGAACAAAGTGACTCAGGCATTAATTAAACAAGAAAATCTAGTCCTTCTTGCAGTGATAGCAACTGCAGGAGATGGCACTCTTAAAAGTCACATTGCGCATGCCTTCGATGCACAAAACACGGCGTTGTATCTGGAAGTTAATTGAAGGTACAAGCTTAAGCTTCTCCATGAACTTAATTTCATAATCCACCACATTTTACAATTGAACTTACCTCCTCCGATTTCATCATATTGCAACATTGACCGACCGAAACTACTGGCTTTTGCGGTTTTAATAGACCTGTTAGAGAGCCGCTTGCCCATGGAACCGATGGCACAGCATAAGACTCACAAAAACCACGGCAGGCATTGGTCGTGATGGTAAACTCTACACAGTCTGGTATGGATATCTTTCTTGTGTTGCCCACTTTATGGCAGCCAGGTCGCAACCAAACATCCCTGCTCAAGCTGCACTCAACGACCATACAGCAGAAGCAACAGAGCATCAGTATTAAAAACACCGAGGATCCCATTACCAAAAAAATGAGACGATGCGATTCCTAGCCTTGCAATACGACGACTGTTGGCTGCTGCTCGGGATGCGCCTGTTTTTATGCTACAAATTTGACGTCTGCGCAAAAGTTTTGGGGGGTAAACGCTTTTGTTGCTATTATTGGTGCCCAATGGGCTGCACCGTAATATGAATAGAAGAGCGGACCTCTTAAGCACCATTTTAAATGCTTATTCGTGTTTAAATAAATGAGTTAAATTTGAATTTAAAACGTTAAAATCAGAAATATATTCTGATTCGTTGAAGCGAAATAAATAAGAGTGGTTTGTTTACAAAACGGGTATTTAAATACCTTGTGCCCCCTTCCACACGATAACTATAATAAAAATATGTTTACCCTACACATGCAATGTACAAAGATATACCAGTTTAATACGAATGCATGTAACACAGGGAAGGACACGTGGCACACCCCAGAAAGTATATATATTCTTGATCAGTTCATCTGTCCGTCTGTGCGTCTATGAATGTATGAATGTAAGGATCTTAAAAAGTATAAGAGCTAGAATGACCAATCTTGGTATCTGGTAAATCCGAGAAACGTCGAGTTTTTGTTTTTTTTTCTGATGGACCCTCCACTACCCCATTATAAGTGATTTTCCAAACCTACCAAACCTCTTAACTCAACTTTTGCAATTACATCCCGTTAGTGCTTATGTGCCTTGATACTTTGGATCATAATGTAAAGGAAGTTATGGCCATAAATGTACTCTTTGCCCAAGCTCTGCCCGCAACTGTTGTAACTGTTGCTGCTGTGGCTCAACTCTGCTCTGTACATATGCTTACACACAGACACACATATACACAATTCCGATGTACATTTTTGTACCGACATAGGAGTACGTGAGCTAGAATCCCAAAGAAGGTTTTATCAATCAAAAAAATTTCCGATTAATCTAAATACACACAAATGCCCCATCTTCTTTGTACAGCTTTAAACAACTTACTATACTCACAAATGTAGGCAAATTTGAAAACTGTCATTAATAAATGGGAGCTACAAAACATACGGCATAGTACGGCAAGTAAATAAAATTTCCTTTTCTTCATATTTTGTTTTATTTTCTTTTTTACTATGGCGACATTTTGTCTACTAATAACAAGCTCAACATGACGATGTTGAAAATAAATCATGCGCTAACAGAAATAGATGCATTCATACATCAAAATATTTATGATAATCGAAAAGGAATTTAAAAGGTAACAGGAATAGTAATTTAAAAATATAAATAAATAATATAAAAACTCCTCCGATTAGTCAGAGAAGGAAGATTTATGAGCAACTAAACAAATTAAATGAATTACAATTTGTATACAAGTAAAGCCTGTATAGTGGGCACAGCGTTAATGTTCCGAACCTCAGTAGCCTTGTTAGTTCGTTTCAAGAACTGTCTCGTTGTCGTTCATTAATTATCGAACATTATTCCTATTGTAGAATACGGAGACGTTTCTCCTCAAACACCCCACATAATTCAAAATATCAACAAAACACGTGTTTCTCGCACCCATTAAGACTTAGCCCCGGCTGAAACGCTACCCCAACTAACTCTGGAGCTGTCGTTCGCTCGACATGAATCGCAATAACAATTTCCACGGTGTGAATGAGGGCGGTCAGGGACAGGAGCGTCAGCTGGATATTATGGATGTAGACATGGAGATGGAAGCGGATGGCACAACAAACGGTGATCAGCTCAGTTCTGGGCTCATGCTGAAGCCATCAAGTAAATCCCTAGCACCGACTGTAAGCGATCAGGCGTTAAACACGCTTAATGAGTTGCGTGAGGCCAATTTGCTTTGTGATGCCCAAATTTCAGTCGGTGATCAGGCATTCAATGTTCATCGTGCTATCATGTGTTCATGCAGTTCATATTTCCGGTAAGTAGAACAAGGATCGCAAAAATCAAATAATAATATACTATATAAGCTCAGTTTAGGTTGAGATGGATTAAAAAGTAAACAGCTTGACCGGCCAAATTTTGATTTATTTTGATCTATGCATATTTTTGTTAGTGTATAACCAATATTCCGCTCCTTTTAATTCGCTTTCCGCAGCGCACAATTCACAGGCTTCAATGCCTGCAACCGCAACAGCGAGGATAACCGCTTCGTTCAAATACCCGGCATTAGCGGGCCCATAATGAACTGTGTCATCCAGTACGCCTACCTTCGCAAGACTAACATAACAGACGAGAATGTGCATGAGCTGCTCATCTGCGCCGACTATGTGGGCATGGTGGGGCTAGTCAAACAGTGCAAGGACTATCTGAGCCGCACTTTGACGCCAGAAAACTGTGTCAGCATCATGGGCTTCGCTCGGTAAGTGCAATATGAACACTAATACCAATTAATTGATTCACATCAACTCGTCAAAGAGCCTAATCCGCTTTTAATTGAGTCGTTCGTTTTTTATATTCCATCCCCTTACCACCCAATTGTTGTCGTGTAGGTTTAGGTTTTTAGAGGACCTGCACCAAAAAGCACGTAACTATACGTTACGCTACTTCACTGAAGTGGCCGCTAAAAATACAGACATACTGGACATGAACATCAAGGACTTCTACAGCATAATCAGCGATGATGAGCTGAATACCCGCGAAGAGGATTATGTGTGGAAGTTGTGTGTCAAATGGATAGATCGCGAGCCGGAAAATCGCAAACAGCATGTGGCACACTTAATGACTGGAGTGCGACTCGGACTTATGACCCCGAAGGTACTTTTATGTGTTTACTGTGTGAGCCGAAGGCACCATTATACTCACAATTTTTTGTTTTCTTGCATTGCAGTGCTTTATGGAAGAGGTTAAGGAGCATCCCTATGTCATACAATGCGAAGCAGCCAAGCCATTAATTGTCGATACCTTTAAATTCATGTATGACCTGGATTTTCTTAACCCACAAGCCGAAGAGGTAATCATTCCTACCCTTTCTCAAACAGCAACAATTTATATGTGCCTTACGATATGCCCTTTCAACCCAAGCTTACGACTCCGCCGTTGGCTATGCCGCGTTTACCGCACGAGGTCATCTTTGCGATTGGCGGCTGGAGCGGTGGCACTTCAAAGGGTTGCATTGAAACCTATGACACGCGCGCCGATCGTTGGGTTAACATAAATGCTGAAGATCCAGCGGGACCGCGCGCTTATCACGGAACGGCAGTATTGGGTTTCAAGATCTATTCAATAGGTGGGTACGACGGCGTCGAGTACTTCAACACCTGTCGCGTCTTCGATGCCGTGAAGAAGAAGTGGGGGGAGATCGCGCCCATGCATTGTCGCCGCTGTTATGTGAGCGTCGCAGAGCTGAACGGTATGATCTATGCCATTGGTGGATACGACGGACATAATCGATTGAACACTGTGGAGCGGTATAACCCGAGAACCAACCAGTGGTCCATTATACCGCCCATGAATATGCAAAGATCAGATGCCAGCGCCTGCACTCTGAATGGTCGTATCTACGCCACTGGCGGGTTCAACGGTCAGGAGTGTCTGGATAGTGCAGAGTTTTATGATCCACTGACGAATATTTGGACGCGAATTCCAAACATGAATCATCGTCGCTCGGGTGTATCCTGTGTAGCCTTTCGCGGACAGCTCTACGTCATCGGTGGCTTCAATGGCACTGCACGCTTATCCACTGGCGAGCGCTTTGATCCAGACTCACAGACCTGGCATTTCATACGCGAAATGAACCACTCGCGCAGTAATTTCGGTCTGGAAATTATCGATGACATGATTTTCGCTATTGGAGGTTTCAATGGCGTGTCGACCATTTCACATACCGAGTGCTATGTGGCCGAGACTGATGAGTGGATGGAGGCGACGGACATGAACATTGTGCGCTCCGCGCTCTCGGCCAACAATGTGGCAGGATTACCGAACAAGCGCGACTACATACATAAGGAGCGCGATCGCCTAATGGAAGAACGACGTCAGCGTCTGATGGCCACGGCGATGGCGCGCGAGGATATTGGTAATGCGAACCCATCGCACTCAGTCGTGGAGACCAACGATGTGGCCATGGATGACTACGAGAGTCCCAACGAGGATGAGGAGGGCGAGGAGCTGCAGCAGCAGCAGTTGCCCGTACCCCAAGATAATCAGCCCGCAGCTCTGCCGCTGCCCCCCCTGGCGCTGCCTGTGCCAGCTGTGCCACTGCTACAGCCCGGCCCTGGAGCTGTAATGGCAGCAGCCGCAGCACAGCCCGTGGTCATTAATCGCATCATTGAAGACCGTGGACAGGACAACAATCGACGTTTCCGAGTTCAGCTGCGCAACCAGCGCTATGGATCGCACCATGAGATTCGTCGTCGCGCCTGATTTCAAGCCCCCAGACTCATCACAGTTTCTACTCCATGCAAGACATTTTAACTACTCATATGCTCAAAAAAAAAAATGAACGAACAAAATCAAAAGATATAGATAATGGGAATAAGAAACAAAATGAGCAGTCAACACTAGAGGAAGCGTAAGCGTGGGCCAAGGTATTTCTGGTAGAGAAACTCGCAGCGTAGCCCACGTCCGTTCAAATTTCAATTGTTTTCGGCCCTACAACAACAAGTACAACTGAAACGCAAATTGGCGAATACTGTTGCATAACCCCAAGCGCGACAGTCCCTTCACGTCTTTAACCACTTTGCTTAACTTTGGTATACAGTTCCACACAAATTGTACGTATTTTGCAACGGACCTGTCAGCTAAAATTCACAGCAGCTTTTAAAGCATATCAAAATTATTTGCATACTACACACACCAATACATACATATTTATATACCATATACATATATAAACATACAATAAACGCTGCGTTTTAATAGTAATTTAAAAATAGTACAGAGTTGTTTCATTTTCCTTTATTTCTTTTTTTTTTTTTTGTACGTCAGTCGTATATTTGAATTTAAATTGGTAACGAGTATGCAAAAATTGAATATGCAAAACTCAAACAATTAGAAAAGAAAGTTTATTTTTAGGCAAACAATGCTAGCGTAATGGCGAACATGTAATATGCATGCTTACACTGAACAAAACCCTCAGTTGAAATTATTTAAGAAATATGTCATTACATTCGCAGTTCGTCTGACAAATAAAAGATTAATAACTATAGCCATATTCTTTCTTCCGAAATACCATTTCAAAAATTCCACACAAAATTTAAAAAATCGTCGTATAAATGAAAGTCAACAACCAAAAATTCAATGTAACAAAGCATGTACATATGTATGTATATAAATTCTGAATAAAAAAGCAAACTTAACTTGTGTGTCCCACCACCTTCTAGTTTGTGCATTGAATATTTTTCAAGTGACTTTTGCGAAAGGGAAAACATTAAGAGTTAAGGATGCGTGTGTTCAATGCTCCTGCAGCGCCTCGGGCTGTATAAAAAGCAGCCAGTAACAAAGAAACAAGTCACAACGCAATTGGAAACGACGCGTGGCGCACGCTTTTAACGGCACATTTACTGGCATTCAAACAAGTGCGAACGCAATGGATATAAGTGTCGCATTTGTGTGAGTTTTAAAACTATTTTTAAAATCTTGATTATATTTTATTTTATTTGTTTTTTATGAAAGACATAAGATGTAAATTATGCTCTAAATTGTCCGATTTCGGATAAAGTAGTTTGCATCAAATTGTTTGCGTGAGAACTCATCACCGAAATAAATGAAAATTCAATCTTTATCACAACAATAATATTTATCTCGTTCTTCAGGATGCATCTGCTTTTTGTGCTTATATACATAGCATCGCCAGGATTGCAAGTAGCCGCCGCCGCCCAGCTAATCGAATTACAGCCCATCAGCAGCGGCCCCACTGTTGCTCCATTGGGCTGCCATCGGCGCGTGTACACATACAAAGTGACCCAGTCAGATTTACAAGGACGCGAGTGCTGGGATTATGTCAGTGTCTGGAGTTGCTGGGGCCGCTGTGACTCCAGCGAAATTTCTGATTGGAAATTTCCCTATAAGCGTTCGTTCCATCCAGTTTGTGTACACGCGCAGCGGCAGCACGCTATGGCTGTACTAAAAAACTGCCATCCAGATGCAGACGAGAGCATCAGCCGATACAACTATATGGAGGCAGTGAACTGTCACTGTAATACTTGCTCGACGCAGGATACGAGCTGTGAGGCACCGTCCAACAATGTCCTTGACGAAAAGACCGGCGTGAAAGTATTGGCACTGACCGGCGCCGATTCTGTCGATTTGGACTATTAGGCGTGACAGTTTTAGTTGTTGCTGCTGTGCCCACAACCGATAAAGGTCGCGTAATAAACGATATATAGTACATACAATATACATATACATTAAGCTTATAAATCTTGCAATGGTGCACTTAAAGCATATATTTATTTAAGATGTTTGTTTTTTTTTGTTTTTGGGTATGGTCTACATTATCCAGCTTTTTTTTCACTATGACACAAAACATCAATAATTTGGGCCTAAGAGGAACTAATTGGAGTGGTTGGCTTCCATATACAAAAATCAAATGAGTCCGGTTAAATCTATATATGTACGTGTATTTATAATATAAAACAGAACTTCATATTTCAGGGTTAAGCGTATCAACCGGATTACACAACTTGTGTAGACCAGTGTCACAATCGAGTGCCTGAACGCTTACCAATCTCACCTACAGGAATTTTGGACTTGTGTTCGTGCTGTTCTCTTGCGCCAGCAAGTATAAGCAATAGACCGACGAGATCCCTAAGCCGATCGCACCACCAAGTGCACATTTTCGCAGGCCAGCTATTAATTCGGGTCGGGATGAAATGAAAAGATAAGTCCTACATGAAGTTTATGTTTGTTACAAGTTGCATCCATACCTGTGGATTTGTATAGCAGCCCTGTGGCCGAGCCCGCGATCACTGTATTGAGGTTGTCGTCTTCGCCACGAACAAACTGTAACAACACGCCACATGCCGAATAGAGCACAGCCAGCGTGCCCAATGTGTTTGCCGTACCCGAACCCTGTTTCATGATGTGGTTTATTAATCTGCAAATATGAAACAAAAACAGATCTACATTTAAAGATCGCCGGCCTCAATTCGAAAATGACATTGTTAACTCACTGGGTGCGCCGCAATTTTCCTGACTGATTAAGGGCTCTAGTAACCTTAAATCCATTGTATATGCCCGCTAAACCACCTATACCACCGCCAATCATCACGGACGTACCGATCTGTGAGAAGGCCAATTCAAAACGTCCACGTTGTTTGTTTGCGCCCTCTGGAAATATAAACTCCGGCTGTGCTTGCTGCAGGAATCGTGAATCATAGTTGAGGTATGGCGAAACTGGCGCACTGCTGAATGTGCTCGTAGCCGATGTGTAGTTTGTTGGTGCTGCTTGTTGATCATCGACTGCAACAAATCCAGGAAAAAACAACATCAGTTTCATTAAAGAATTATTAACCTTGCCATCAAGCCATGTAACAGCCTATCACATTGCGTAATGCACATGTTGTATGCTTACCGGCTGGTGCGGGCGCCAATGAAAATGGTTTCCTTAGGTAGTCGTCACTCATTTTTGAATTTGTTCGCGTGCGTAGCCAGGTAGGTTACTAATTTTCTATCAATCAGCTGCCAAATTAATTGTAGTACACAACACAATGGGGCACCAACGTCGATTCCCGTGCTCTGCTTATGTTTCTAACTTTTTTTCTAACATGTAGTTTTTTACTGACAGCGTGACATTCTGCTCCCAACACGCGTGATGCCCAACACTGAGAAATATAAATTGCTCAGCACAGCACCTCGATATTTACGACAAAAACATCGAGGACAGAAATAATAAATCGATAATAATTGTCAGCTGTTGTGGTCGCTGCTGCTGGCTAGTATCTCAAGAGTGTTCGTGGGTCGCGGTTGCAATTGGGCGGTGTTTTATGGTTGTTTTAGATCCAAAGATACTAATATTTGTGAAAATAAGCAAAAACAATTATTGACAAGTGCGCCCCAGGTGGAGACAATATAAGCCCCAAGAGCCAAATTATTAAAAAAAAAGCAGGGCGATAGACTTGACTTATACAAGGGGCGAAGCCGGCGTTTATTTTGTCTAATATTGTTGTGGCAAGCCCAGCTCCAATCGTCCTGTACCTTCAAGCAATGTCGTCAACTGAAGTTAAATTGTCGCGTCTGTTGGGACTGGCACAGACATTTAACAATTTCTACCTATTAGGTGAGTAATTGTGCACACTAACTCGGGCGGCTGCGACATTCTGACCATGAAAATGGGTTTGGCCCGCCCGTAGCCCTGCTACAAGTCAATGCCTTTGTGTATGTATTTACATATATTGTGCGTGCGTGTGTATGTAAATGGATTGCTGTTTTCGGCTACGACAGTGGGCGGCTGGGCGCCCATATTATGGGTGCAGCCAACGCTTACTGCAATTGCAAAGCTCTTGCTTTTGCTCCGGCTATCGATTAGTTTGTGTACACTTGTGTGTGTGTTAGCCGTCATTCCATCCCGTTTCGTTTCGCAGCATCCTTCAGTCAACAGGCGCCAAATAGCTGGCATTTAAAAGCAGCACTGCACAGCCTGAATGACATTGACATTTTATCGACAAATTTTCATAAAACGTGGCTGTTTTTTTCTAACGCACGATGGAAGACCATAAGGTTCCCCACTACAAGCACTCTACTTTTAATCCGACCAATAATGAATATAAGGTATAGACAGGTACAAGAGCCCAACGAGATGACGTGTACAAATACTACATTTCACCTGTTGCTGCTGATAAATATCTAGGGAACTCGGCCGCTGATAAGTTACAATTTAGCCATATGTTTATTATAATAAATAAATGGTTCGGTATATAGTAACAATTTAAAAAATAACCCACAATGGCAGTGTTTGATATTCAAATCCGCACGGATATACATTCCAATATAAAAGAAAACGCAACAACTGCTAGTGCAGGAAACTCGATTGCATTTCTTTGTACTCCTATAAACAAAAATTAAAAGCAAAAAGTATTTGTTAACAATAAATTCAACACTAATCAATCAAGCGTCTTGATTATGAAAGAGCGTGTTTATCAGGCAATCGCGGCAAGTGCGCCCAATTCCTATGTATGTATGTGTATACATATGTACACACATATATTAAAAAATATTATGCTTGTCTGAGTATAGTATAAAACTTATAAACACACACATTGTATGTACATATGTGTGTGTACATGCGAAGGCCTTCAAATCACTACTGCAGTTGTCTCTCGAAAATTATCTAGTCATATTAAACTTTTTGCCCTACTAGAAATATTCGATCTTGTTGCTATTCTTTGTAATGGGCATCACAATTTTATCATCTCACCTTGAATCTGAGGGTGACATTAAGAGACAAACAGACGACAGAAATACATACATACATATGACTATGTACATACAACGACAACGGCGATCATCGGCAACAGCAGAAAAATATCCCAGTATAGAATATTCAGCATCAAATAAATACAATGTATACACTTATTTACGCATATGTATATGTGTACATATGTTCATATATACATATGTATCTATCTCTTCCTATAAAATCATAGATTCAAAAAGAGACTAGAACTTTGCAACATGCGCCATTTATTGCCGGTCAATCGGTGACGTCTAAAATATCAACATTTTCATTTCTTTCTCCTGTTTTTTTTTTATTTTTATTTATTTATTTATTTATTTATATTTTTTTAAATAATAGCTTATCTCCTTATAAATATAAAAACAATGAACATAAATACATACAAACATAATTAGATATTTATTGCCAAGATAGTCAACCGATTGTAGCAGCGACATCGTCGCCGCGCTCTCTCTTGATAAGCTTTGGCGTGCTTTGTTTTGCTCGATGTCTTTCACAGTTTTTTTTGCCACGATTTAAATGTTTTGGTTTTATTTGTTTCATTTCCTCCTCGTATTTATTTATTTGCTCAATTTATGATGCAATAAGCACATTTAATCAGAAAATTAGTTACCTTCCAGATCCATTCAAATTTTGTAGGCAGCCTAAACTAGTTTTATGGATTGCTTTCGTAGTTTAGATTGAGACTTACATAATCATGATAAATAAAAAATAAAGATTGCGATCCTGGGAGTAAATTTATATCCTTAAAAATATAATAATTATAAGGATTTCTTGGTGTTTATTGTTTAAGTATTATGATTCTGGTTCGATTATTTTTCTTGAGTACTTTTGAATGTTTACTTTTCAAGCCGTGCTTATAGTTCACTTTAAAAAATAAAAGACAACGCGTTTAGTTCATGTTTAAATTTAATCAATGCTCCTGAGGCCATCGGATCTTTTATAGTTTATTTGTTTTTATAGCCCTAGTAGTTAACAAAAAAGGTTTTAATTGCCTTAACTATAAATTATATAATCCAAAGTACGGTGCGTCGAAATTTGGATTATAAAAGAACATATTTGTAATCAGCTATTTATATTTTAAAAGTTCAAACACACGCCCATTCAAGATTCCGTTGGTTAGCTATTATTATTTAAAATATGTATATATATACATACAAATCTCCGAAAGTTGAATACCTTTTTTAAAAATACATATGCACATAAATTCCACACTATGGCAAAAAGCGGCACCCTCTGTTGTACTTTAAAATAACGCACGTTATTAAAATAAAACGACCAATGTATAGTAGCTATTCTTCTTACGATTAAACTAAAAACACGGATCTTCTCCGCGGCTTTCATGCGAAGCCGTGCTAATCACCGATATTAATAAAAACACAGCCATCCTTCGTGATTCTTACTCGAGGCAATTGAACTAAGCTGCTTAATTTGTGATGGCCACCCAAAGGTGAAAGACTAATTTTAAGCGACACAGCAACACACGCCGGGTTTATTAATAAAAGATGGACAGTAAAAGGTGTGTGTTCGCATCAACATTGTTCCACATGTGTAGAGCACACACCTCAAGTATCATTAATTAAGGGATAAATTTATTGTCTTTTGCACAGGTTTTCAAAAGGGCGACATACGTCCATTTCTCGTCGAAGGTCAACAAGTTGGACTAATTAAATCGGATGTATTCAAGCAGCTGCGCAAGTATCCAGAAGTGTTTTGCATACGTGACTGTGAGTCCACAAATCAGGTAAGTCCGACACAAAGGCTAATTGGTAAACATACTGCAGCAGTTGGTAATTCCAGGGGCTTGTGGAGCTAAATCCAGCCTTTCGTGACTACAACGAACGCACAGCACAATTGGAAAAAGTATTACGGAGCTTACGCACCGATGGCATCTTCTCCGCACTTCACGGCTGGCGCGACGAATACTTTGAGGTGAAGTCCGAGCACAAAGGGCTACTGAAAATGGAGCGAGCCGCCACTCCGCTGTTTGGGGTCCGCAAATATGGTGTGGACATCAACGGCTTTGTGCGCCATCCGCAGCATGGCCTTTGCATTTGGCTACAACAGCGCTCGAACACTAAAGAAACGTGGCCTGGAAAATGGGATAACATGGTAGGTGGCGGCCTATCCGTCGGATATGGCATCAAGGAGACGGCCATCAAGGAGGCGGCCGAGGAGGCATCCATTCCAACTGATCTCGTTAAGAATTTGGTATCAGCCGGTTGTGTTTCTTTCTTCTTTGAGAGCGATCAGGGCTTATTTCCCAACACCGAATACGTATTCGATTTAGAGCTACCAGTCGATTTTGTGCCCCATAATGCGGATGGCGAGGTACAGGCTTTTGAGTTGCTTCCGGCCAACGAGTGTGTGGAGCGCGTGTTTACACCGGACTTCAAGACGACCTCGGCGCCCGTAGTCATTGATTTCTTGATAAGACACGGCTATATCACTGCAGAAAACGGTGCGTATACGTATATGAGAAGAAATATGTATGTTATTCCCTTGATTACTGCAGAACTCAACTTTACGCAAATTGTGGAGCTGTTACACGTACCACTTCAGTCGCTATATACGTACAAAACACGCCTAGAGCAAATACAAAAACAGCAGCAGCAACAGGCTTTGCCCAACGACGATAGCTGCAATTGCAATACGCCCACCATACGACCAATGGAAAATGGACACAATAAGGCTGCTGCTTAGGCGTCGACTATAATCATGTAAATCGAATTGGGATTTAAAAAAAAAGAGTCAAAACATTGCATTATAAAGCATTAAAAAGAACTAGTTTGAGAGACTGCTTTTGTAATGGGATTTAAAATCCAATGCAACAGCCAATATTTACCAGAAAATTAGTAACGCAAAAACCAATCAACCAACCAAACAATTACGCATAACTTACTAAATTATAATTAATATTATGGAATTACATACTTCAAATTTATTAGTATGTTTGAGTCGATTTTTGCGATGTCCGAGATTCAGTCGTGGTATGTCCTGTTTATATTTATACGTGGTATATATACATATATATGAAATTATTTACAATATTTATTATGTACGTATAGCACATACATAAGCTTAACAGTTTAATATATACTTACATATACTCATCCATATATTAATGCCCACATCTCTGATCAGTTTTGTGTTTTGATATTCCAATTAACGACAAAACCAAAAACGACGCATTCTTACAGCTCTTGTAAAAAACCAGCAGACAAGTTTTACCAATGCAAAATGGTGCAACGAATAATTTAAATATTTTGAGATGAAATTCAAATGTAATCATTATGTAAATCTTAGAGATATTTTAGCAACAAATGAACTATTTCTTAAGTTCAATTAAATAATAATTACTGTCATAGAAAATATATAAATTATACAAAAGAAAACAAAGCTATAAGTATTATCCATGCATTATTTTAATGCACATTATACAGGCTCTCATTATTTTATTGGTATTGCCGCTGAAAAAAACCAAAAGAATTTTAATTTATCTTTTAAAAATATTTTATTGGCAAATGAAATCAATGTAGCGTAATCGATATCCGAGAGCCTTAATAAGTTTAAAAATATGCCCCATGAACTTTATAGTTCTATGTTCATTGTTTTGGAACGTATAGAAAACGGTGTGTGACTTCTTAGCTTAATTATTTGCTGAGGGCAAATAATTCACCAAAAAATAAAAGTATTAACAAATTTTCGCACAAAGCTTACGTAGTTTTTGAATATCTTCAAAACCATAGGATATCGTCAAGATCAGTCTTCATTACGTTATTAAGTGTGTTAGTGTCTTTGCGGAATTAAACTAGGCCGTTGAGGCAATGTAGGAAATGAATTCGTAAAAAAAAGCTGCAGAATTTCGTCAATACTGTCCAATTTTCAAAAGCTACATAAACCACTCGTAATCTCTATACAAATTTCTACTTTTCTTTCAAATTTGATCAAAATCGGTATAAAAAAAGAAGTTAATAGCGGAACAATTTCACTCCAGTACGTCTTCTTCTCTTCTGCTATGGGCGCACATAATTTAGTTCCGGAATTGTGTCTGGGTACAGGATATTTCACTGTCAGTCTTGCTCGACTGTAGCGTTTTCTCTTGATTTAATATTTATTTTAATATATCAATCTGGGGGGCTATTTACCCCTGCTGAACAAACAAGAAGTAGTTCGTACTTTAAGTGAATATAACTATGAAAGCAGTTTATATAAAGTTATTACTAGGTTCTGGAGACATGGAACGGGTCCGTTGAAATACTGGAAAATTTAAATATAACCGTTTTAGCCAAATCAAGGAAAGTTACACTTTCCCAGGGATGCAAAGTAGCAATCAACCCACATGGAACCGTGAGCAAATGTAAATTTCGAGTAGCAACGCTCGGTAAATGCATCAACGTTCATCGACATCAATATATATTGTCGATCTTTAAAAGTAAAATATCAATACTACCAACGTATTCCAGTAAATTTTCACGGTCCAAGTATCGATATTAGCAAATGAAACATCGATGTTTTCAATATTGTCAAAATATCGATATCTAATCGTCCGTAGCAGATGCACAAAAAGGCGGATGAAATCAAAAAAGGAACTTCGATAGAATATCATCAAAAATTCTTTAAAATTAATGTCAAAAATAACTAAAAACAATAAATATTGAGGCAAAACACCTATTCCATAAATCACGAAATGCCACGCACAAAGATAACAAAAAACTCAAAACGCAATCGCGAAGCGGCCAACCGCGAAGAAAAGATTCGCGCGTATGAAGTTAAAATGGATTCCTTCTATATGAGCGTCGACGATTTGGAACACAAATATAAAGCCGCTGTGGACCACGAGCTAAAACTAATCGAGGGCCGAATACAAACGGAGCTGCGTGAAATGAAAATGGGCGACTTTTTGCAAATTTTGGGACATTTGGACCATTTTGGTGATTTTAAGGCCAGTGACCAGACACAAATGCTCGCATCTCAGTCTATATGCAGCAAAAGTAATACGACGGGCGGAGGGGATCTTGCAAATATAAAGGGATCTTGCAGTCGGAACGATGAAGGTATGTCTTGATGCATTTTTCTTGTTTGTTAAAATATTGGTGAGCGGGACTCTAACTGGCTTTTTCATTAACAATCTCATACAATTTTCACTCACACTTCAAAAATACATGCACCAATCATCCACATGGTCACACATCGCTCTAACTAGGCTACCTTACAGAGGACAGCTCTTTGGGAGCTGTCGCAAGCAGCGGCAGCGCTATTGCCGCTTACACTGGTTCCATTCTTCGCTCGACCAAGGCTTTGAGAACTCCGGGACCTTTGCACTCGGCACGTGCTCGCCGTGCCCGACGCAGCAAATCTGCCGGTGGCGAGATATCCATTTTGCCTTCTGCCAAGCCACATGTCAGTGGTGTAGCATCCATGGAGCACAGCTCTCGTAGTAAAATGCGTACCCCCATGGTCTCCCGCACAAAAGCGCTCAGTGCAGATCGAACACCTCGGTTGCATCACAAGGGACGGGCCTCTTCGCCGTCAACCCCGCCAATGTCTTTTTTACGTTGGCCCAAGCCAGGCGAAGTAGCTCTTTCAAAATTCGGCAGTCCAATGGTGGCGCAGGTGTAAGTAGCTTCTGCCTTTTGTTCTGAGATTTCATAACGCTAATACTATCTTACAGTATGCCTGACAAAATCGCCAATGTGAATATACCTATTCGCAACGGGGTGCTGTCAATGCGACCCAAAAAACTTGCCGAAGTTGAAACTGATTTACTGGAATCGCTGGATACTGACACGTTGCATCAAATCAAAACATTGCGCGACAACCTTGCTTTAATAATGAACACTGTCAGTAAAGCTGGACTTAAATGAAAATTAAATCATGTTATTTCTTAAATTATTCCTTCAAGTGTTTGTAGGTAATTTTAAAATTCATATTTCAATAGTAATAATACATTTTAGCATACCATATACATACATATTTGTGAACGTACTAAAATAAATTCTAGCAGCGTGTAGTAATTTCGTAATTGGTTGCGAAGAGGAACAAAGAAATTCTGAGCAATATCGAATACATAGAACAGGCGAGTTTTTGAATATAGCACGGCTTGGGTATGGTATGGCCATCAGTATTTCTGATCATAACAAAAACTTTCTACAAATACTCATTTTCGACTTAAGGGTTCGTTTAAATTTTATTTGTGGCAAGGATATATCAAGCTTAGGGGCCTGAAAAGTTCGTATTTTTTATACCCAAATCGTGATTTCGATGTGTTATAATGACTCCTACTGCCACAAGTTTCGTTTGATATGTCTATACAGACCACATCAAATCCTTATGTCATATTACATACATAGCTGTATTAAAGACTATGTGATGAAAAAAGAGTTTGTGCATAAAAAAAGCATAATTGTTTATATATGTATATATTAAAGCCCAAGTGTGTATAGTCGTAAGAACTGTACATGAATTATTTTCTTTATTCGATTCGCACTAAATTTAATTCTTAGTTTTTAAAATTAAATGAAATTCAGATTTCAAATGCCATTGGAGCTATATAAAATACCAGAAATTACTATATGCCAGTATATATCCGCATATCAAAGGTATGTAACAATAATCGATTTCTTGCGACATATCGATACGCATTGGCATCCCTAGCAGAATCACAAAAAGGCGGACGAAATCAAAAAAAGCAACTTGAGTAAAATATCATCAAAAATTCTTCAAAATTAATGTCAAACATAACTAAAAACAACAAATATTGAGCGAAAATAACTATTTCATAATTCACGAAATGCCACGCACAAAGATAACAAAAAACTCAAAACGCAATCGCGAAGCGGCCAACCGCGAAGAAAAGATTCGCGCGTATGAAGTTAAAATGGATTCCCTCTATATGAGCGTCGACGATTTGGAACAGAAATATAAAGCCGCTGTGGACCACGAGCTAAAACTAATCGAGGGCCGAATGGTTACGCAGCTGCGCGAAATGAAAATTGGTGACTTTTTGCAAATTTTGGGGCATTTGGACCATTTTGGTGATTTTAAGGCCAGTGACCAGACACAAATGCTCGCATCTCAGTCTATATGCAGCAAAAGTAATACGACGGGCGGAGGGGATCTTGCAAATATAAAGGGATCTTGCAGTCGGAACGATGAAGGTATGTCTTGATGCATTTTTCTTGTTTGTTAAAATATTGGTGAGCGGGACTCTAACTGGCTTTTTCATTAACAATCTCATACAATTTTCACTCACACTTCAAAAATACATGCACCAATCATCCACATGGTCACACATCGCTCTAACTAGGCTACCTTACAGAGGACAGCTCTTTGGGAGCTGTCGCAAGCAGCGGCAGCGCTAGTGCCGCTTACACTGGTTCCATTCTTCGCTCGACCAAGGCTTTGAGAACTCCGGGGCCTTTGCACTCGGCACGTGCTCGCCGTGCCCGACGCAGCCAATCTGCCGGTGGCGAGATATCCATTTTGCCTTCTGCCAAGCCACATGTCAGTGGTGTAGCATCCATGGAGCACAGCTCTCGTAGTAAAATGCGTACCCCCATGGTCTCCCGCACAAAAGCGCTCAGTGCAGATCGAACACCTCGGTTGCATCACAAGGGACGGGCCTCTTCGCCGTCAACCCCGCCAATGTCTTTTTTACGTTGGCCCAAGCCAGGCGAAGTAGCTCTTTCAAAATTCGGCAGTCCAATGGTGGCGCAGGTGTAAGTAGCTTCTGCCTTTTGTTCTGAGATTTAATAACGCTAATACTATCTTACAGTATGCCTGACAAAATCGCCAATGTGAATATACCTATTCGAAACGGGGTGCTGTCAATGCGACCCAAAAAACTTGCCGAAGTTGAAACTGATTTACTGGAATCGCTGGATACTGACACGTTGCATCAAATCAAAACATTACATGACAACCTGGCTTTAATCATGAACACAGTCGGTAAAGCTGGGCTCAAATGAAAAGAGGAGGCTGCATTAATGCTTTTCTACGTAAATATAAAAATTAAATCAGGTTCTTTTTTAAATTAAAAATTGAAGTCTTTTTGCAATGAGTACTTTTCAATAAAAATACATCTTTTTTTACCATAAACATACATAGATATTTATAAAGATATTATTTTATATATTATATTAATTTATATAATTTCGTAATTCGTTGCGAAGCAGAACAAAGTAATTCAGAGCAATATCTAACACATAGAACAGCAAGTTTTTGAATATAGCACGATTTGGTTGTTTGATATGTTTTAGTAGGAGTAATACACACTTTACTGGTCTGAAAACTATGAATAAGAGTACATCAATCGGGACCAACATTGATCGATGTAATTGAATGTAGATACATGCATGTGAATGTTTTATTTAGGTTCTGCAACGGTAATTCTTGCAACAAATACAGTTGCACATCCGTATACATTCGCTAAGCAATGTGTGACCATACTAAAGATGACCACGTGCTACAATTTTTGGGCACGGGAACCACAGCTGAAAATACAGCACTGTATGGCTTTTAAGATATGGGCACACTCTACATTAGTCAGCTGTTGCGCTCTGCCCACTTAGTTGTCGTTTTTGCCGACTTTTATGTAGTTTATGTAGTGTGGGTGACTTTTCTCTTAACTAAATTAAGCTTTTTCAAAGTGCAACATATGGCTTTAACGTGTGTGTGTGTGCCTTTTCTAACGAACATTTATCAAAACCATTAACGGGGTGCAGCTGTAATGTATTTAACAAAATACATTTCATTTGTCTTTGTTTCATGTACAAGTATGTACTATGTTGACCCAACATTCAAATAGTACCTGAATCAAAGTTGTTTTTGTATTTTTCTGTGTCTACGTTTGTTATAAACGAAAGGTTCAACAACAGCATAAGCCTTTGTCGGACTGTAAATATAAATGTACGGATTCAGGTAAGATTTCTTCTGAGAGGAAGTTGTAGATACTTATATCTGCATGTACATATGTAAGCCAATACATGTATGATTGTATGTCTATAATTAACATAGCTATGCAAAAAAAAATATAAAATAAATCATAAACAGCATTTAAAAGATAGTTATTATACTACATTTAATTAGTAATAAAATAGTTGTTTTACAATTTTTTCCATACATATGTGTATGCAACAATACATGCATTTGAATTAATACAATATACAAATATTATCCAGTATCTATAATAACATTAATGAAAAGCAAGGAATTTATGCTTAGCAAATGTAAGCACCCAATCCAATGCAACAAGTCAACAGCAGAAGTACGCAGACAATCAATTTGACGAAAATTAGAAGCGACCTACGTGTATGTACTGTCAAATTGACCCATACTCTTTACCCAAAGAGCTTCAGATCAATAATATACCTAGAAATGCTTTATAAATTTGGAATAAAGTAAAAGAAGAGCTCGGGAAGTATGTATGTATGTCGGGGTTTTAATGAAATTACAATAATATCTTCCAACAACAAATATAAAAGGTAATCCCTGGCCTAGTAGGGGGAAGATTTATTAACCAGTCCGGCAAAGTATGCCCCATCTCAAAACCATGTGTGGTAGATAGCCGAAAAGAGAGATTTTTAAAGAGGGAAGATAAAGATCGGTTGAATACGGCAAATGGATACGATTATAATAAAACAAACATAAATTCCGGAAAAGACTGCTAAGATAATTTCTTGTTGTTCTGCAAGAAACTAAGAAATTCATGCGACCAAAAAGGGCAGATTAGCCAGCGACGGAAAGTTAATGAGCAGAAGTCTGCTTGAATATGATTGCAAACAAGAATTGGAATTCCAGTTGTAATGACGAACATAATTTTATTATCGTGCATCATTTGAAAAGGTATTACATTCTTGGACTTAGAAGTTTTTGCAAAACAAACTCAAATCATTATGAGTTCATCTATGTATTCAAACTGAAATTGGCGTCCGGGTTACTTCGCATATGTATACTTATGTATGTATGTATGTCCTATCACTTTCCTAGGGTTTCTCTGCCAACGACCACTCGCTTTTTGAAAACTGATTGAAAATGCCAGTTGCCAGTTGGATACTGCGCCATGGGTGGTTGATGGACTCCTTTCATTGTGGGCTGTGGTGGGAGGCCCTACTTTTAGCTGGGCGGAAGGGTGGTGCAAAGGCTATCGGCTTTGACGTTTTAATTTTACATCGGGCACCAACTTCTACTGATATCAATGCTTGTCGTTGATAAATTGTCTGGATATAATAAAAGTCTTGTGTATGTTTAAATTTATGTGTAAAAAATCGTAGGTACCATATTGTATACGTATGTATGTATGTACATATGTTGTTTACGCTGCGACTAAATCTTTGACTATAGAAAAAGTTGACTCCTGTTGCTTTCTGAAGTAGCCTCTTCAGCTCAACCAATTTTCAATTAATCGCACGATAAATACATTTCAGTGCAAAACTTGTGGCACTTTATGTGGATTTTTGTTCTTGCCCTATTTTAGCAGTAGCCTTCGTGCTGCAACCTGTCACAAATCTTAATTCAGTTAACTTTCCGTTTATACTTCATTTTCTTGAGATGAATGGGAGGACTTTATTTTATTTTCAACTGCTTTTGTAAAAAAAAAATTTTTTAAAAACACATTCTTGTGTGGTCACTAAGCCTGGCAAAATAGATATCTCAATTCGCAAATCAAAATCATTACTTTATGTTATTATGGGCTATCGATCTACTCGTAAATATATTGTCGCGAAATATAGTATGTATAAACAAAACTCTTCCCAAAACGTTCCTGTTCGTAAAACGTACACACTCATACAGAAGTTGCCAATAAAGAAAAAGTTTTATGTTAATCTACTTTGATAACTTAAAGGAAGGCAACAATCCCTACTGGGAACTTGGCATTCCAATAACGCCTTTAATTTTTTGCATTTGCATTAGCTGGAGCAGAGCTTTGGTGCCATTTTGCACCTTAGGAAATTCGATATGCATATTCAAAAACGTACGTACATGCTTATTTGATGTACCCTATGTTGAAAGGGTAATATTAAATCTATCTATCGTATGTAACACCCAAAAGTAGCCAGACACACTCCACCTCTTGCATATACATACTAAGTATCTGCATATTTGTAAGTTGTTTTTCCCATTTAGCTGTATGTACGCAAGGCTTTTGGAAAGTATGACCAATAGAAAGGACTAAAAAATTATAACTTTTTCAACGTCGAATTTGTTATATTAGTATATGTTGAAAACTCCAAAATTGAATTCGTTGTTTATGTTTTGCCAATCGGGTCTGCAGTTTCTGTTGTGATAAGGTTCACAATCATACATACGTAAATATAATGCTTCTTTTAGTAAGAACAAACAGGGTAAATAATAGTCGAGTTTACGTACATTCTTTTTTTATATTAATTCTCTGAATTTTAATAAATTATAAGCCGTGTAATTTGAAGACATTCAACATAATTTTGATGAAGCAGTTGTGGTCAGTGTGAGAATGTTTAGAGGAATTGCTAAGAAAGAAATTACTTTATTGACTAAATACTGAGAATCATACAAGAAGCCCTGTACGATTGGGGCATTATAACATTTGAGTGGGTGGTGCGTCACAATAAACTTATAAAAAAAGCGTAGATTAAAAAGGTAAAGAAATTTAAACACTACAAGTTTGTATGTATAGTACATATGTACATATATTATATAGCTATAATATACTATTAAAATTGAAGGCGACAACGACGTCGGTATTCGAAGAGCGCATTTATTTGATTTTATTTTTTATTTTTCTTAATCTTGTCGCCCTGAGTATTTCTCAGTTTGTTCCACACAAAGCAGCCACAAATGAGCGAACAGTACTCGACCGTGAGAGAGTGTGCTATTCACAAACAACATGTGTTTCGTCATCAAAATTTGTTTTTATAGTCGTTTTCTTTACTTTGAGTTTTGCAGGCGTTTTTTTTAATACTCAACGAATATTCATTTAAGTTATGTTACTTTACCTTTCCATTGCCTTTAGACGTCTGGAGTAAATTCAATAACTTTAGTTTGATGTATTGTATTCTAAACACATATTGAAAAAGTGAACAGATAATTTTGTACATAAGACCTTGCAGCTACAGGTTCCTCAGGGTAACCATAATAAGACTACATATTCGAATTGGAAAACCCATTTTGGGTCCAGCAATAGGTCTGTGTGCACGAATTATACGTGTGTTTTAGTATTAATATATATTATATTATATTTATGTATGTATGTATGTGTATGTAAAAAGAAAAACAGTTAAGTAAAATATTTAAATAAGTTATAATATATTAATATAATGGACATACATACATAGTACATATGTGCATACATATATATTTGCACGCATCTAATTGAAATTAAAATATTGAAATGTTGCTTCTTCTTAATTTGCGAACCTATTAAACTTTGTTTTGTTTTTTTGAAGCCGCCATTTAATTTCTGCAAGTCCACAAAAACACAAAGCTCCTTGACCAGCAACAACAAATTGTTTTTCATAGTTCTTGACGCAGTCTCGCCATCTATGTATGTATGTATGCTGCTGTTGTTAAGCACTACCCACTGCGTATGAGTATCTCCGAGATTCGCGCGGCACGCTAATTGTGGGGCTACGGCTACGTAAAATGCCGGCAGCGTACGTCGGTGTGGCTACTCTATGCATCTCGCTCTAGTTGGATAGGCTAGAGACGATGGTCAAAATATACGAACACGATAAGCATTGCGGCGTTGCCAGCAGGCAATAATTTCTCCCAAACGCTCTTTTGACACTTGACACACTCATTGAGAGTGCATACTCAGCTGGCGAGCGAAAATTGCTTTGCATTGTATTCTATCTGTGGGTTCGTTTTTAGTTCGAGCTTGTATTTCGTTGAGTACGGTTGTTGGACAGCTGTGGCAGTCACACTGTTGACGTGTCGTCCCTTTCGGAGTATATATGTGTGTGTGCCTTTGGCTTAGCTACCCTACCACTGCATCAATTGCATTCAACTTTTGTGAAATTATGTATAACAAAAATATATATGTGAAAATTGTGCATTTTAAAACTACATGCAAGCAAAAAAGATAACATTAATATCTTCAAGTGCGCAAAAAGCAAATTATTGGGCAGAAAAACGTGTATGTGTATGTGGTTTTGTGCCGATGTGCTGGCTGCCTCGTAGTCTCTCGTGTAGTAGTGTAAAATATGTCATGAAGAAGCGCCCGTTTTTTTTTTTGGCAAAGTTATTGTAAAATTTAAATAGAAAAAGTAAAGAAATATAATTTCGTTTTACACATCTGTGGTTTTTCGTTACGGAATTTTTTCCGCTGGACGCTCACGTTTCTTTTCTTCGTTTTTTGCGCTCTCACTTGTCGCTCTGTGGCCGCGTTTCATAATCTAATTGTCGTCGCCCGCTTTGTCGTCGTCGTTCGTACCTTTATTTATATTTTGTTTCATTTCCATTTCGTCTCGCGCTCTCGCGTTTGTGGTTATTGTTGCTCATTTATTTTTTAGTTACGTTTTCTTATTTTATGTTAAATTCCACGCAGCTTTCTTAATGCGATGATTTTTATGGCATTCAATTTTTATTTTACAACAAAAAATAAAAAACAAAGCGGTAATAATAATAGAAAAGAAATTCTTAAATGAAACAAGTGCAAAAGTTTTAATAAAAAAGATTACACCAATCAGCATTGCTATATATATTTCCAAAACGACCAACAAATTTAATAATGTTTACAATAAAATTGTAATGGATGTGTATAGACTTAATATACATGCATATTTACATATGTATACGTACCGTAGATAATTTCACAAACAACGGTTTCACTTAAAAATTGTATATAATATTACAATTAATAATTAAGCAAATGGAAACAAACTGTTTGCGTGTTTAATAAAAAAATGAAAATAAATAAGTGCAAATTAATGTGTTAAAAATGAAATAAATTTTATTATTCACAAGTCTGCATAAAAAGCCTTCTAAAACTTCTTACGCTTGGAGTATAACATTTATGATCTGTTTATATTTTGATGGACCACCAACTTGCTGGAAAGTACCGGGATACAAAGTAGATGCGAAGGTAAAGAAGTGTACTTTTTTAAATATTTGTACATAGATAAAACAAATTAATATATAGATATAATATATCCTTTAGGTGGAAAAGTTCTAGGTTATTGTATATAATAGATACTTTATAACAACATTTCATGTCACTCTCTAACTATACATCGAAATAGTATTTACACTTTAGTTGTCAGGTCAGTTGTTGACTTTGGCTTGGAAAACACATACATATGTATTATATACATACATAACACACTTTTACATGTATTTGAAGTATGGGCGAATGCTATATGAATGTAAATATAAAGTATACAATCAAATCTGACTATTACCCCAAGAAGCAGAAACCGCTATCCACGGCTACCGTCTATTACATAACAGACAGTCAGTCAGTTAGTCGCGCTCAGTTGAGTTCTAATTCTTTTGCTAATACACAGCTAAACTCGAAAACTGGCCTGTCTGGCTTGTCTGTCTATCCGTTTGCCGTCTGCTTTGTATACAATGTCTGTCTGCTGCCCGATCTCAACGACAAACAAACAGAAGAGAACCAAAATGGTCACTCTCACGCACACTCATACGCAGAAGACAAACTGAGCTCTGCTGTGTCTATTTTATCTGCCGAGTTTGTTTTATGTATTTATTTATTTCTGTGTTTTTAGACGAACAATTTTAACTCTTTTTTCAAAAACGAGCACTTCTCTTCACACATACAGATAGATATGCGCTCATTCGATTTACTGTAGCGCACAGATACAGTTGCAGACATTGTCGCATGAGCGTATCTTCAACGTTTACGTGTGTGCCTCTCCACAAACAGCTATGTATGTATGTATATATTTTATATATGTACAAATGTGGGCAATTTATTTTTCGTCATTCGCAGGGGCATTTGAAATGAGCGCTATCAGGCAAAGTTTTGCATATGATTGAAATAAATTTGAGTGGTATTTAAGTTGAAAAATTTGTATTTTATTTGTCAGCTATTTTTATTTATTTTATTTATACCTTTCCTTGAAATGTATGTACATACAGTATGTACTGTGCAGATATTGTAAAGTGTAGTTAATAGGGAAACCTTGACTTAAAATATAATATGTTTGCTTAGTTATGTACACATATATAAATATATTTATATACTTGAAAACTGAACATAACTTAAATGATGGAGCGATTTATAAAAAGGTTCACATGTATTTATAGATGATGCACATATAGTATGTACATACATACATACGCGTACAGAATAAATTGTCTAGGTGGAAAACAAAATATTTGCTGCGTAATTTTTGTTGATTAAATTAGTTTATTGTTGCTGGATCTTATTTTTGGACTGTGGCTGTTAACTCGCCTAAACAGGTTAAACCTGTTTTTCTATGGTTTTGCAGACACTAAAAAAACTAATAATTACTTTATTATAGTTATGCGTACAATACAGACAAGTGTCAGCATGGGAAGAACCGAAAGTCATTACCTTTTGCACTAAAAATGGCTTGTATATTCAATTTAGCTTGCTCTTCTGATTAAACAGCATATATGCTAATACAAATTTAGAAAAATTTTAGTTTTTTGTAGCGCCTTTACTAACATACTTGTACATAAGTGTACATACGTGTGCAGAAACACCATGATTAGATAATTGCAATTTAAGTTTGTTTGGAAAATAAAAGGTACGTCGTTGACAGATAAGCCAGAGAAAGCTTAAAGATAATTATTATTGTATGTTTGCAATAATACAATTTTTTGCTAACAAATACGAATACTTATGTAAGTTGAAGTTTTGCAAATACTGGTTGGGTTGGATGTTTTTATATTATTGAGTAGGGTTGGATTTTGAATTATGCGCTTTCCAAAGTTTATTAAATTAAAACAAGAAAGGAATGCTCCAATCGTGTAGCCACTCTCAGAAGTTTGGTTTTCTACTTACTGAGATCCATGGCTACATCGATTCGTCTCGTCATGCTGATAGCGAATATACATATATACTTAAATGAGTCCTTCTGCCTGTTACATACTATGCACAATCCTAATATACCTCTTTACCATGGGTTACATTTATTGGTACATTTTTTATTGTGCACAAATTTAATATACTCTGTACCTGAAGGGTAAAAACGTAAATTTAACTGAAAAACATCTTCAAATAAAGTTTTGTATATGAATAATATTCAAAAGAAAGTGTCTTTGTTTTTAAAGTGTGTTATACTTAATCAAATGTTTAACCTTATTAAATTTGCACTCACTTTAAATAACATATAGTTAAATTTACTATATTCCAATATTAATTATATATAAATATTATTCTTACTAATAGAAGTGGTTCTATGTATATAAATAAATATGTATAATATGCATGTGCGGAATATCTTTATTAAGATCAATTTGTACTGTTGTAGAGTAGAAAACAAGTGGCAAAAATATTTTTTAATTATATAGAAGAAACCTTTGGCTTCAACCAAACCCACGTTAATTTCGTTAAATTCAATATTTTAATATTAAAATCAAAATTGAAGTGTGCACTCTTTATATCTACTAAGATACGATGTGGTGAAACATCTATTTTTATGATTGTATATATGTATTTTGTGAGGCTTGTCATGCCTTCTTCTGTGTGTTCCTTACATTCACACTAAACTAGTATACCTTATACCATTTTGGTGCGGGTTTTAAAAAGGCATCAGATTATCCTCACATGTCTTATGTTATACTTTTTTTTAACATAAGAAAGCATACAAAATACAAAACAAAGTGTTCGAGCGGTTAACGTTCAAAATATCAAAGAAAGAAGCCTACGAAAAAACACAAGATCTTATATAGTATAATTATTTTAACAAACTCACGTAAGAAGTAACCAATACAAATTCGAATCAAAACAGCAGTCACCAAAGAGCACAACGTAACACTCAAACAAATTCAGGCAGGCTTAAGACCTTACGTATATACATTTGTATGTATATATACAGCGCAGCTATAACATTATAACTGTGTGAGAAATGTAGGGGAAATATTAATGAGAATGTGTGAGCTTCCCGTCGGTGTGAGTGTGTTGGTGTTTTTAAAAGTTGATTGCACTCGATTTTTAGATAAAGCTTTTTCAAGGTCATCACCGAAAAACCGACAACGTATGTACCAATACAAACGAGCTTCTCGCTGCTTAGCTTCTAGAAATACGCTTGTAGCGACCACCAGTTAAATGGGCAAGCGACCGTAGGGCTCTTCTTGGGTTTTTGCCGAAATTTAGGATTATGTTTTACCTTTTCTTTTGGTCGGGCTTTTAGGGCTCTTATATGGTTTGACCATAAGTATAAGTTTAACTGAAAGCAACTGATGTTGCTTTTTTACAAATGAACCCTAGCGGCCACTTCTTCTAGAACAATCATTTTGGTGTACGTTTCAAAGCAAATTGGCATCTCTTTATATACCTTGTAATTGTTTTATTTGTGGATATTTTGTTTGATTTTTGATTAATTTGATACATATATACAGGTGATATACAGGGTGCGCCATCTTTTATGTCGGTATGTAGATGTTGAATAACTTTGTCATTAGTGAACCGATTGACTTGAGTAGACCAGTGTTGAAAACCTTAGTTCAAGAAATTGTACAGAACCAAATTAAATAAAAATAAGGCACATAAGGCATCTTTGTGCAAAATTTGGTATCTCTATCTCTTATAGTCTCTGAGATCCAGGTGTTCATACGGACGGACAGACAGGGCTAGATCGACTCGTCTCGTCATGCTGATCAAGAATATATATACTTTGTGGGGTCTGCCACACCTCCTTCTGCCTGTTAAATTTTTCAGCTCCCGCAAATCTAATATACTTCTGTACATTTCATGTACAGAGTATAATAATTTATAATAAAAGATAAAATCGTACGGAAACAGAAGTTCATGGGAAAGTGAAATTATGCTTTAGGACCAGAATATAACTTCTTCAAACTTGCGTTTGGTCTAAATTTTTGTAACATGTCAGAAACAGGAACGCAACAAATTGATATAACCCTGTTCATCTGTCTATCTGTCTGTTTCTATGCAATATCTAAATTCTTATAATAGGCGCACGCCTTCGACAAATAATAAAATCTACTTTTATCAAACCTGAATTTATAGCGGCTTTTATTCTATTATAATAACAAAACATCAAATCAACAATTACCTTTTATTGTACTTTTACTAAGACTATTTTGCTGGCATCTTTATAAATCAGCTAGAGCCATATCCAGAGCTTTGGTTGGAGTGGATCTTAGAGCTCCTGTTACACATACGTGTGGAAGCCGGACTCCTCTCTGTAAGTGTAGGTATGTGTATTTCTTTGTGGCTTTCCACCATTCCAGCAGTATCGGTCGCACCGATGTATCAGTTTTGGTGAGAGGTCACAACTACTACTCAGCATTTCGATGCATAGCGTGCGTTTGTGGCCTTCTTGATCCTTTCTTCAACGTTGGTCATCCAAGCCAGTTTGCTTACATATATATAGTATACATATATAAGATATCGCACTCGTAAAATATATTAATAAGTTAATTAATTAACTGTTTGAGAAGTAAAAACAAAAGAACTAAAATAATTTTTTTTTAATTTTTTGCAGTGACTTATTTTGTTATAATTTGCGTGCAGATCATAATACAACAAATGTAGTAATTACCTAGAAGTGTACCAACAGCAGTAACAAATACGGGCACATATAACTGCAGCTAACAGATGAGCCCCAACAACAGATGTCAATTGCTGCAGCTGAAAATGCAGGGTAAGTGAAGGGAATTTCAGCTCTTAAACCTATGTCGACAAGAACCTACACGAATACTATAAGTGCTTGTTATGTTCGATGATGCTATGCGTGCAGTGAACATATGTATGTAAAACGGTTGGTAAATTCTGGGTCAGCCATACTTCGTGGCTATTCAACCGTCTAGATTTGTTCAGAAGACAAGTATATTTTACACTTTAATCAAAAAATACTGAGATACCGATTTTGACTAAATTTACGAATGCGTAGTGTAAGTAAATTAATAAAAAAGTTCCAACTACATCTTATATATAAACTGTATAAGCAAAATATCTTCTCCAGTAATATTGCATTATCATGCTTTCTACCTTATCTACCTTTCTATAATTTATCACCATGAAAAGCATGAATAAATTGATCAAAATTGCGTATTGTACGTATAATTTATTGAATTTGATTGAAATATTTGCAGAATTTTAACATCCGTAAAGCAAAGGAGTACGCCATGCTATAACACAACTACATAATACTTTGTAAACAGTCGAAATATTTTTAGAAATTTTTATTTTTGGCGGCCATAACGAGATTAAAATGCAGACCCTAATTGTTCGGCATTTGTATGATTTCAAAAGATTTATACTTAAATAGCAAGAAAATATATTTTTGCAGCATAGTGTGTTACTGTCCAACATCATTGCTTGAGTTTTTTCAGAAGTCTTATTTCAGTCAAGCAATTAAAATTAGAAATCTTTTTGTCGGACAACACTAGCTGCCATTGACAAAAGTGAAAGTGCTCGTTGATTATACATAATATAAGTATGGGTGCAAAATGCACAATAAAATAGTAGTACTAAAAGTAATAACATTGGTCACTTCAATAATGACTAGTATACCCTTTCACCCTTTGGGTACAGGGTATAAAAAACTGAAACAGAGAATGCATTTAGAATCAATACGTACTTATGGTGCAGAACAAACAGCAAACAACAAAGAACATGCACAATTCTTACAAACCAATTTTATATCTTCTTTATATAAATAACGGCAAGTATATTTATAAATAATTTAATAGATGTATGAACCAAAAAGGAATATCTAATCGTAAAATTGATAAGTAACATTTTAAACAAGAGAGAACGCTACAGTCGAGCAAGCCCGACAGTGTAATACCCTGTACCCAGGTAAACTTCCGTCACTGAGTTATATGCGCCCAAAGCAGCAGCAAAAAGAGGAAGAAGAAGAGCGAACTTGTTGTGCAAAGTTTGGTTTACGTAGCATTTGAAATGTTGTCGCTATTGAAATTCTGTAGCGGGGGAAGGGGGGGAAAATTAAAAAAAATAAAATAAACTCGTCCTTTCTCGGACCTAGGAGAATCTGGATGCCAACTTTGGTTATTCTAGCTTTTATAGTTTCTGAGATCCTTGCGTTCATCCAGACGGACGGACGGACATGTCTAAGTCGATTTCTCTCGTCATGCTGATTCAGAATATATATACTTTATGGGGTCGGAGATGCTTCCTTCTGCATGTTACATACTTTGCACAAAACTAACATGCCCTTTTTACCGTACGGGTACAGGGTATAAAAAACATTCAAATTTAATTCATTGTGTTAAGTCCAAAAATGTTTTTGTTTGCAAGCCATAAAATATGTACTACTCCATTTCATTGTCAGTGGGCCTTACAAAAACCGGCTATAACAGGCAAACGTTACGGCCAATCAAAAAAAAAACTAGAAAATGAAAGTGAAAGTAGGGCAAGCTAATCAGCGTGCTCGCACAGTGTTTGTAGGCCTACCTTAAAATTTTGCTGTGTTATATACATATATATATATACATATACATATATATATATATATTTACGTACATATGTACTTTATTGTTTCTATATATTACTTGCTTATGTTTCGCATTTTCATCTGTAAAGTATTCGCCGCCATGCATTTCGCTTGTCTTTTTGCTTGCGTTTGGTCGATGAAAAGTGAAAACTTTGTAGTGAAAATTGCTGAGTGGTATCGCAAATGATTGCATGGTTGGAATTATACTTTGATTGTCGAGATGGAAAGCGGCCGTTTATTATTAAGTTATGAAATACACAACCGGTTGATCAGGTATCTAAGCAAACATGTGCGCCTGTATACTATAAATTTATCGTAAATATATACATAAATATTTTGAATGATTCAAATATGTTTCAATTGATCTCTATTTTGCAGCGATAATCATGAACTTATGATCTGTACTGCACTTTTCCTCCCATTTCTTAAGTTCTTTTTTGTATTGGAGAAACCCGTTCGTGCTTATTTCTGCCACAAGGCACAGATAACCTTCAAGTCCTAGCCACTCCAGGACCCCAATAGGCCAACATGTCCAATGTGTCAATCACCTACAGTTACTACAATATTTTTCTGACTTAGGACAATGTTGTTCACTAACAAATAATGGATATACAATCCGTCTAGGTCATTATACGATACCTGACAATATTAATCTTGCACGCATAATAAGATAAATTGAAATCAATCCATTGTCTCCCGAGGGCCCAACCAGCAAGCAATGTAAACGCACATATGTGCTATTGTAATTACAAGCTGCTTGGCAAACCAGTTTTTCGTAATTTGTTGCTAACGACGACCGTCAAATGTGTAATATGACGCAAATATGCGGCGTTCTTTTGCAAAAGTAATATAGAAAGAATGGATAAACTACATATTTACATAAGGGATATTTATAACCTTGCTCATTTGGCGACCTCTATATTTGAGACATTGTTTAAATAAAAAGGGCAAAAGAACTGGTTTTAATTGTGATGTGATTAATGTTATTCAATGGTAATCAAAGCTTCAAAATGATATCGCAGATATACTTATGTGACTTTTCATGAATATTATAGGAAAATCCATTTAAATACGCACATATACATATGTATGTATGAATTCCAATACTCCAAATTTATAGCTGCGATTATTTGGATATTTGTAACGCCCAGGAAAAGGTACAGATATCGAATGAGCTATGTATAGCGATGTCCGGTTCTCTGTCTGTCTGTAATTAAACTAATCTTTAAATTTAAAGAATGTTGTGTTAAAATTTTACAAAGCAGGTAAATAATGTGTCTGAATCAGCTGGAATGATCCATTATATAACCAGTAGTATAGCTTTGTTTTTATAAGAAAAATCTACTTTTGGGAAGGTTGTTGTTAAGTCCAAGCTTTGCTCGGACTCTTCTATCATAACAATCTATGTATCATAATTGGCACTGGACCAATATGTATGTGCGTATTCTAAAAACCGAAAAGTTCATTTTATGATGATTATTTGATGACGAGCATACTCAATTATGTCATGTTGTACCGTTTTCCCTTTTTAATTACTTAGCAAACAAATAATTTATTTCAGAATATTTTTATACCTTGTACATAAAATTTGTACTATTATCTTTGTGCAAAAGGAAAAATGTCACATGAATATATTCTTGATCAGTATGATAAGACGAGTCGATTAAGCCACTTCTGTCTGTATCTCCTTCCATATGAACACCTAGATCTCCGCGACTATTAGAACTAGAGACACTACATTTTGTAAGCGATACGAGTTTTTTCTTCGGATGCGAAACGTAATCTCTCCCTCAAGCTCAGGCAGCAGCTGTTGTTGCTGTTCCTCATTAAGCTTAACTCTGTATTTACGTGAGTTTGAATCCCAAAGAAGGTGTAATCGTTCAGATTAGGTTATCCACTTTTTATGTACAAATATACGTGTTTCGATATGATGTTAGATTAACAAATATAATTTAACTACATCGGTTGAGCGGTTTCGGAGTCTATACGGAACATACATACATACTTCCATTTTTATATATATAGATAAATAGAAAATTTATGTGTACATTTCTTTTTTAAATCATAAAAACCCAACCTATAACCCAATCTGAAAACTGTTGTCATAAATAATAGGGTTGAACGTGAGGGTTGCAGATTGAGAAAATCAAATTGCAACCATCCCGTAAAGCTATTGAATTAGCAAAACAGCATGTCTATTGCAAATGGCACGCGCTCTTAAATATGTGTCCCACAATTATTTACAGGGTAGAGATGGTTAGGTTTGTCGCAAAAGCTAATGTCGCACCCAGACAAGCAACAACAGCAACATTGAGCACACGAAGCCAAGCAAGGACATCATCAAATTGACACAACTCCAGTCCTAGCCCACTGCCCCCGCAGCACTTGTAGCTTTTGTCGTCGTTGATAGTGCTACACAACATGTTAAGTCTTCTTTTATACCATTGAGGACGACCGTGGGTATCATTCCGTTCGGGGCACTGCTCCGTCCGCGGCACAGAGCCGGCCTTACCGTCTGTGTGTGCCGAAGGATTTTTATACTCTGTACATGAAATGTACAAGAGTATATTAGGTTTGCGGGAGCTGAAAAATGTAACAGGCAGAAGGAGGCGTGGCAGACCCCACAAAGTATATATATTATTGATCAGCGTGACAAGACGAGTCGATCTAGCCCTGTCTGTCTGTCTGTCCGTCTGTCCGTCTGTCCGTCCGTATGAACACCTGGATCTCAGAGACTATAAGAGATAGAGACACCAAATTTTGCACGAAGATGCGTTATGTGTATATTCTATACGAGTTTGTTTTATTTTTTTGATTTTCCCCCCCACTTCCCCCCTATGGGGGTTTTCCCGATTTTCCATTCGTATAATCGCCTATATCTCGGAGACTATAAGACCTAGGCACACCAAATTTTAGTCCAAGATGCCTTGTGTGAATACGCAGAAAATGTATATTTTGGAATTTCCCTCCCTCCCCCCTCTCCCCCGCAAATGCGATTTTCTCTAACTCCCGTAATTCTTGGAATTTCGAACTAAAATTTTGCAAATACCCCCAGTTAGTAATTATGTGTCCGTATGCCAAGTTTCACTATGATAGACCGATTTACCAAGAAGTTATAGCCATAAATATATTTGCTGCTGCAGCGCTGCTGCAGCGCTGCCCGCGGCTGTTGTTGATGTTGCTGT